AAGGCATGCATACTTGTGAGACCGTCAGTGTGATTGATCAGCATGTAGCCCACCTATCATCAGATGCTAGTGCTAAACCTGAGCTGATAGTAAAAGACAGCAGTGGTGGTGGTCTTGCAGGTAGACAAATTTCTGAAAGCCGAGCAACAACAGCTTTTGATCCACCGCTAACTTCATCAACTGATATCAATCAGTCGTCGTTGGTGCTGTCATCCACAATGAAACAGACGCCCATCAACTCAAGTATCTTGTGCAATGACTATGCTAGTATCAGTCCGTTTGAAGAGACGAAAGATACTGGTCAGTTTAGTGAGGATAAGCCAAGTGTAAACGAGAGAGTAATTGTTAAATTGACTTGCATGAATAAAGGCATTTCTAGTTTCAAGTTACTATTTGAATGTTATTATCTTTGGTGTAAATTACTCTGTGCCTTCGCTTGGTTGACCAGATACGTCGTGTATTTGTTCGTCATCTATATTCTACGATACAATGACATGAGCGTGTTACCGTTCAGATTTGAGGATATAGCTGATAGGAGGAAGTCAGCAAATGAACTCTGCGATGATTTTCCAACCTAGAGCGTCAACCTGAGAAGGGTTGTAGGCGTACTGCTGTAAGTCCTACAATTCTTCAAAGGGTAGCGCATCAATGAGCAGTCCAATGTGCTGGTGTGTGATTTTGTACATATGTTCATTTGTATATACTGAATTGATATCATCTGTCATCTAGCTGTTGGTAATTCTGTTTGTGTCCGGACGACTTCCACTTGGATCATCAACCTGAGAAGGAATGTAGGCGTACTGCTGTAAGTCCTACAGTTCTTCAAGGGTAGTTTGTCGTGCCAGAATCCACAACATTTGATGTGTGATTGTACATATGTTTGTGTTAAATAATTGTGTGAGTTCCAATTATTGTAATTGTTGGTTAATCTTGTTTGTGTCCGGACATTCCACAACTTACAATCGTCAACCTGTGAAGGGTTGTAGGCGTACTGGTGTAAGTCCTGCAGTCCTTCAAAGGAATTCCATCAAGACATGAACTGCGAGTTTGTGTGTACTGTTTGTATATACGTGTGGTGTGTCATATCAATTGGTGTTTTTGGATTCATTGTGTTTACTCGTTGTTTTCGTACCTTGTTTTTATTGCATAATTTTGTTAAAATTTTCGTCGTGATTACTTCTGAAGTTGTGTCCACTCTTCTACATCCATGAATGAATTGATTGATGTTAAGGACAGCAGATGGGTCGTATACGCCGGGGAGGCTAGGCTATTGCTGAGAATGAAATGCACACGGAGATAATTGTTAGCTGTGGTCTCACACGCCGGGGAGAAAGAGTGTAAACGACTGAGGCTTGCATGCGTCACCGCTACTAGAACTGAGGCAGAATGAGTGACAAGCGATTTCAGTGGTAATTGGTGGTGAGTAGATAAGAGGATGAGCGTAGAGTATCATGAGTTGGTGCTATGGTCACGTTGCATTCTGCAAGAGTCATTCTAGCAAGTGGCGATTTTGTTGCAAGATGTCAATAGGATGTCTCTGTCTGGAGGCACAGGTCGTCAGCGATGTGTGAGATTGTGCTGTGAGTATGCGTGCTGTATGTTGGCTTTTCTGTTTGTTTTCCATTTCAGCTCTGTCCGTGTGACCCAGGTTCTCGCAATGGCATCCAAGTCAACGTGTATTTGTCGTGAAGAAAAAAGGGTTGGATCCGTATTTTGCCGGGGAGTGTCAATGGAGTTGAAGATTGAACGATCAATTCTTGGTTGTTTGCTCAAAATCAACTTCCCCAATTTTCGCGGAGGCATCAATACGACAGTCATCGTCTCATCGGTCGCTGTTCAGAAAGGAGTCAGCAATAAACCGTCAGAAGTAATCTTGTGATTTATTATTGTAATATTTGTTCACAGACCCTAGTAAAAACATTATTTTTATATGTTGGTGTTACAATAAAGAATTCTCAAGCGGCCAATCGGTGTTTTGGTTTTTTCGTCCGTTATTACTAAGCGTTTCTGAAAACTTCAATGAACAGCGTGGGCCCGAGCGTAGCAAGAGCTGGGCATTAACGGTTTACGGGACGTGGCTGACAAACACTGTTTCTCTGTGTCATACATCTAATAAACATTCTAATAGGTTATTACAGGCATTTCTTTACGCACTTGGCTAATATTATGACTGCACCAGCGGGTCTTCGTTAAGGTGATCGCAAAACTTTGAAAGTGACTTCTGAAGCTCCTCAACACTAGCTTCCTGCAAATGCTGACATGAAGAAAGTTACGGAAATTCAAAGTCTTGATAAGAATGTGTATTGTAGCTTATCTTTACCATACAGAGTGTCATATAAATAATATGGTCACTCACTAAACGATCAAATATTAAGCAGTAAGAAAGTGAGTGGAGAGTAGCTAAATAGGGATTATTGTTTTATGTCTATCATATAGCATTTTCCCTTTTTGAAGCGACGCCACCTGCTTGATTCATTCATTAAATGGGCCAAATATACTATACTATTCTTCTATCAAAATAACTACCCAAATCGCCGACCCACTACTCATAATATTGTAGAAGATTAATGGTGTTCATGAAGCTTTATTTTCCAGAGCACGTCAGAAGGCAAGTGAAGCGAGGAAAACCTGGTCAAACAAATGGAATGGCGTTCACCACTCAAAAGATAAAGAAACCACACTTGGTCACTCATGTCGTCTTTTTGAACCCCTCAGTTATTTGCTACATCTGAGTGACCACAGCATATCCTGTTGCAGAGGCCCTACAGTAGGAAGTTTTCCCTGGCAGTTGGAATCTACTTTAATAGCGATTGATAAATGTCAGATGAACTGAGTCTCTGTAGTTAGCCATCCTAAGCATTCTCCCCACCCCAAAGTATGTACACAATGAACTGCGACAGGATTCGTTTAGCCGATGAGTAAGATGCTTCGGAGGTTTGTGAGCTTATTACTCCAGAGTCTGCACAGATGCATTTTATCTCACACACTGTATGCATCAACTGCTCGTACTTATAGCAGAAGTCTACCATTGGATATGAAGTTTCAGGATTCCACGCACGTCTTCATACATCGTGATTATGTTTGAAAGTGCCTAGAAACTCCCTATGGTAGTTCATTCAGAGTTATCAGCAGGAAGGCGAATGTTTACGTTATAGGTCGTGCAGGATAGCAAGGTACAATGAACATTGATTGCTAGTCCGACAGTTACACAACTGCCACTATACGTGTGCCGCGTCGTGGTCTGAAACTCTCAAGTGATGTGTATAAAGCAGAAAAACCGGGCTTGATGATGTTGTCAGGTTTCTAGACAACCACATTCCCACACACAATAATCAGCTTGAATTTCACCCAGGTTGTCAATCAGCCATATTTCAGTTTGAAATTGTACCCTGAATAGTGAACTACAATTGAATCTAAACTCAACTATATTTTGGGAAGGTATAATACCATTCCAAACATGACACGTCATCTCAAAAGACAGTTTAAAACGGGTGAATTCAAAAGATTTGGCTTTCTGAGCTGAGCAGAAACATCGTTCATGAACTTCATCCCAAAGGGATGTGAAATGGGCAAGTTATTTTTCATCCAATTAAATTTAGTTGTTCAACAATAAACTTAAAAGTATTACTTACGGGGTGCATTCCGAATAGCTCAGTTATCCTCACGGTGACTCTAAACTATAGCAGCGCGGGATGAAACTGCCTAATGAACGGATTAATGACCTTGAGCAACCAGTCGTCTACGTCCATAGTATATAGGCGGAATTATCGATGCTGTAGACGAACCACGTAGCAAATTTCTAGTAATAAAATGCTCCTTAGAAAACAGGCTAATTGAAAGACAGGAAAACTGTAGCCAACTGTCATCCATGGGCTGTATTAACAACTTAATCAATGATGAGGATGATTTTGTTGATCTTTCTGATGCGACTCCCACAAATTCCATCGACAGTCTCTGGATTCGCCGAAAGAACAGAATCAGAACGGTAAATAGGTCAAAAAAGCGATGATTTAACGTCATCTCGACGAATTTATGTACAGGAAGTGGTTCAACCTAATTACTATGAGAAAGTGGGTTTTTCAAGTATTGGTTTGTAAGGTTTTGGTTGATTGGTCACATTGTGATGAGAGCAGGCTGCTAACCAACTGGTAGACATTAATCTACGTCAATGTCTAGGTCACTAATATTGGCCGTGAGAAAATATGAACAAGGCTAATTCAACAACCAATCACAGCAGACTCAAACGTGGGCAAATATGATTCGCAGATAGATGGCTCCACTTTCCGAGAAACTGGAAAACAACCAATCAGAAGACTGCGTTCGTCTACTCGAATAAGCTATGATAATGTACATGAAATATGTATAAATACGTGCTGATTTCTATAGTAAAATGAGCTGTTGCCGGCCCTTGTCTTCTGCTGTTACAACAGGATTTTATCATCAGCTGACATTGGTTAGGGAACCATTAGAAAACCTGGGAGTACTGCACAGCCGTCTCGCCCTAGTTTGGGACTCTTCATCCGTACGCACCTACCTGGAGTTCTAGTGGCAAGTCGTGACCAGTGGGGTGCAGCATGTCGGGTGCGAGGACAAATGCTCACCGAAGACATTGACTAGCGTTTGCGCTATATCGTGAATAGGCATAAGTTAGAATTCATGGGTTGGCCATTGGATCGGGTCCCAGTGGCTTAATGGTTTACGAGCTCGCCTTGTAACCAGAAGGTCCTGGGTTCGAACCCTGGTGGGTGCGTGCTGATGAAGAGTCCCATACTAGGACGAAACAGCTGTCCAGTACTCCCAGATGGCTTTCCAATGGTCCTCTATCCAATGTAAGCGCTCATGATGAAATCCTGTAACCAAATTGAGTTTTCCCTAGAGCATACACAAGAAAGTTATCCTAAGTAACTGCTTTTTAACATCACTTTTATACAAACAAATTTTCAAATTACGCACTTATATTCTGGACACATCTGATTGGTCAACGGAGATTTGTCAAGGTTTTCGTTAGTAAGTTTCATTTTGGGTTGCTGTACTTTAGAATAACCATTCTGATTTAATTGATTTATTTGTCAGATACTCGAATATTATACAAGGAAAAGAAATATGAAGGAAAGCATACGGACAATTGAAACATTTATTTGTTTACAAGATCATAATTATTCTACGCTTCTTTTACTGTATTCCACATTCTCGCTATCCATCAAAAGCGCTCAGTCATTCCTCATATCAATCAAACAGAAAAATAAATAATTTGGAATTCAATGTTCAATAAGTCAAATTGTACATTGAACAATGTCGGTCAATAAAAGATTATTTCAAAAAAAGTCATTATATCACAGAAAGAGAGAAAGTAAACGGTCTTTGATATCGTTTAAAATATGTGTACATTTAAAAAAAGGAGCCAAACTTGTTTTATTGTTTAACAGGTAGTTTAAACGATGATATATGCACTGGTTCCCCGGGTAATTTAATTAACTTTTTCAGTAAATTCAACTTTTTCATTAATGCAGAATCTGATTCAACTTCATATAATACAGTTAAATTTGATATCATCACATCGTGTAGACAAAATCGACGAGATTGTGTATTATCTATAGAAGGCATTAATGGTAGACTTTGGTTAGTTAATCCAATTGTTGTTAACTTTTCTAAGGCTTCAATTGATTCAGTTAATTGTCCAAGATATAAACCACAAATGGCTAAATTATTAGCAGCCTAAAAATTGTAAGATAAGAAGAAAAGGCATTCAGCAAGGATGAAAGTATTACATATATACACACGATACATATATAAGTAGGCATAAAGTAAATGTGCTACACAACACAATACAATAAGATGGTATGTACTTCAAATTGTTATGAGTTAATCCAATACTAGAGTTTGTTGGCGCCGGATGGAGAAAGTCACCTAAACACTACAAACAGCCATTTCACTCATTTTGGACCATATTCATAAGTAGTGGTATGCGAGCTCCAGTTACACACCGTTAGTTAATATTTTGAAATCTCTTAACAGTGTGTTCCTATAGGCCAACCGAACAACTGTAATGTGAGTGAATCAATTACAATTTATATATCATGTGTTAATTTGCAGAGAGTTGATTGGTTACAGGGTTTCATCAGGGGCTAGCATCAAATAGGGAACCCTTGGAAACGAGCACTGGAGTACTGAACAGCATCTTCATCAGACTAGTTTGAGACTCATCACAACCAGTACGCACCCATCCCACTGCCGCGGTTCAAACCAAGGATCTCCCAGTTACAAAGCCAACTCGTAGACTATTCCAGACACTGAGATTAATCTGACGCCCACTAGTGACTGGCTATAGGGTGGAGTTCTTTTCTGAGAAGTAGTGACCAGTGTGGTTCGCGCTAAAACCACTAACTGGTAGAAGTTCCAGCCACTGGCTGGCCATGCAGCCATGAAGCAGATGTATTGCATCCACTCTCTGTAATCTTCTAGATCCACTAAGTCCTGATGATTCTCCGTGTAATTATTCTTTATCCCATACATTTTAGTCCACTATACATCTTTTACTCTATGTTCATGTATTATATACAGTCTCATAATTTGAATTCTTGAACTTCTGTCCAAAGTTCTACACGAAAACTCATTCTGTTAGTAAGAAACAATATCAAACTGAAAACTAGTGAAAGACAAGTAGAATAGGTCAACCATCTTCTGATATTATGCACTTACACAGAAATCAATTAACAATTCTATGCAATGTTAAGCACACAATGAGTACTGCCAATTTTTGCAAACAACCAGATTACTACTCTTAATCAACTAATTAAAATTCAAAGGGGGAGAAGTTAAAGTGTCAAGACCTTGACCTTCACAAGAACCAATCAAATTTAGCGAACGCTATGAAAGGTGATTCCATAATCAAAATCATACCTGTCTTTTTGGATTCCGCAGGAGTACATACAGTATTCCACTTATTCCCTAGGTACTCTTTTTTTGTAAATCTATATATTGTTAGATAGGGTTATAGTTTCTAAGATTAGGGTTAAGGCTAGGATAGGGATAGGTTAAAGAAAAGTGTCGAAAATATTAATAGATCTGATCTACAGTCATCTGGATGGATATATCTATTGCACATAGTATGACTTCTTCATCGGTTAACCGTGTATTGACTAAGGGACATTCTTACAACACATTAACGATAATTATCCAGAGGAATACCATGTTTGCCAAGTTTTCCAATGCATTTTTTTTAACAATTATGAGACTTTTATTCATCTGAGTTCTGATTGGTTACAGGATCTCATCACAAGCTGATATCGGATCGGTTACAGAACCACTGGAAAACCAGCACTCAAGTAGTGGATAGTCAGCTGTTTCATCAGCCTAGTTTCAGACTCTTCAGCAGTACGCACTCACCCCACCGCGGACTTTCTGGCCCCTGACCTTCAAGTTACAAGGTGAGTTAAGCTAGGTGAATATTCAGCCACTGGGACCCACCAATCAAATGGTCAGTCCATGAATTCCAACTTCTACAAGTTCCCCAAACAGCGCGACTGGTACTAGCCACTGTCGTCACTAGGGTGTACCCCCTTGATCATGGTCATGACTGTTGTCCAGTACTCTCAGGCTTTCTAATGCTTCACTAACCGATGTCAGCTCATGATGAAATTCTGTAATTACGGGAATCCCTACAAACTAACTCTTGAATTCTGATTGGTTGCCCAAGGTCACTGTGATTTTTCACCACGATAGATTAACTTCGCTGTCAATGGAATACATTCCCTAGATATTGGGATACAGTACAACCATTATTTGATATTATCAGTGAATAACTGTCATTACATCTAATATGAATAACACTAACAGACAAAAAAAGTCATTACAATTTGAGAACACCTCGTCAATGTTTCTTGATTTCAAATTGATCTTTACTTAATCTGAAATCATCAAAAAAGATTAATCAGGACGAAAGTTATTTGTTCGACTTACAGCCACATTTGTAGGATCTAAGCGTAAAACTTCCACAAAGAGTTTTTTAGCTTCTTGATATTCACCTTTAGCAATGCATAGCAAACCACTGAGAGAAAAAAATAATAACAAAGTTAAATATTAGTCGCATAGAATTTGTATTCAGACTTATTTCTATAGAAGACAAATGAAGATCTACAATTTGCAGTATTCAAGAGTCTGCTTGGACAGCTACTTAAAACTTGGGTTGCTGAAGACCTCCATCAATGTATTGCAAATAATTTCCCTTATTCAGTTTCTTTAACTCTAGTAAAATATAATCTCTAATGGTGTTGTTTACTATGGCGAGTATTTAAAACCTGAGGTTCGCAAGTCTACTATACTAAACATGGAGAAAAGCATTATCCTTGATGACAGGATATCCCAGTACATGATATGACCATTCCTGAGTGGTGTCCTCGGTTCACAAAATGTACTTCTGGACAATTTATAATTGGCATTCAACAAAATGTCATAAATTGATGATATTAGATGGTTGGAGGCAATCCGCCACAGGAAGACTCACTTGACCTAAGTTTTGTGCTAGTTGGCACTGACCAGTTAGCAAGGCGTATCGGCAACCACCTTGAAGGAACTCACGTCCCTTCTGAGATTCGAACCCACGTCACCCAGTGCTGCCAAAGAGAGGACTAGACACATTACACTAGTTACTAGTGTCAAATCAAAATGTCGTCATGTATTTTTTGAAGGAGGCAAGGAAAAGATGTCATAATGGATTGGTTTGCGCTTCAGGTTAGATAGAATTGTTCGTGGAAAGTACCCATATGGATATTAGAAAGAAGAGAACAAGAAGTTCAGCAAAGATGGCGATCGTTTCGGGCGATTTCATTCTCAAAAGCAGCTGAACAATCGCATTTATATAGATTATTTTACATGGATACAATTATTATTTGTCTAATTTCACATAGTAACGAAGGTGAATCGCATTAGAAAAATCTGCAGCAGCGATTGCATGGAAGAGGAGCTCCTATTCCTCAAAAATATCCTGGCTCAAAATGGCTACCCGACATGTTTTGTCGAAAAGAGCATGAAACTTAAACCTAAAAAAGAAGAATGCGATTCAGCACCAAAGAAAACGCTGTATCTAAATCTGAATTTCAAGGGAGATTTGGCAGCTGATATCCTGAAGAGGAGAATATCCAGCTCTTTAAAGAAGACCTTCCCTGCAGCAACACTAAGAGTGACATTCTCTAGCCGTCCAATACTTCTAAACAACACGAAGGACAAACTCTCGCATATGACCAATTCAATGTGCATATACCAGTTCACTTGCTCGTGCGGAGCCAGGTACATAGGTCGTTGTATGCGCGTCCTTTCAAAACGTGTTACAGAACACTACCCAGCGTGGCTGCAAAGAGGAGGCACTGGTTCAATCAGAAGTGCCATTATTGAACATCTGGTCAACACCTCCCACAACATCTCAACTGATTCTTTCAAAGTGATTTACAAAGTCAACAGAAACCTACCAAGAGCACTATGTTTCCGGCTTCTTTGTACTGCAGAAGCCGTCGCAATATGTATCGAGAAGCCGGAGCTGTGTGTTTAAAAGAAATTAGTCCAACCTCTACAACTACCATGGACCTAGTTTGATATGTTCCCTTGCTTCCGTCTTTTTTTTCTCTTCTTCGTCTGTTTTGTTCTCGCTTTTTCCTTTAGAGCATTTTCGTTCGCTGTATGTCTGATCCTTAGTCCCTCAGTCTTCATTAGATCCACCTAATTTTTTTCAGTTATAAAATCAGTTATTTTAAGTTTGTTTCCATGCTCCTCCTGATCACACTGGTAATCCGTTTAGAATAACCATTTTACAATTATATTCTAATCCTGTGTAATTTTTTTGTTTCTCTGCCTCTTGTAATCTATATTCACACCTCCTAACTAACATTTCAAGTTGAAAAAATTTTGATTTCAATTTGTTTCCATGCTCATTTTGTTCACACCTGTAATTTTTGTCTCTAAGCCTCTTGTAATTCATATCAAGTTGAAAATAATTATCACCTTTTATTCGACTTGAAATTATTTCTCCAGTTATCAAATATTAATTTTTTTGCATACGTTGTAACTATTTTCTAATCCTATGAAATCTTGTCTTTCTAAACCCCTTGTAATCTTTGTTCGTACCTTTAAACTTTCATAAGAAGTTGAAAATTATTATCCCCTTTGTTACTATGTGGAATTAAACAAATAATAACAATTGTATCCATGTTAACTAATCTATATAAATAAATGCGATTGTACAGCTGCTTTTGAGAATGAAATCGCCCGAAAAGATAGAATTGTGTCACACAATCTACTATCGGTCAGTTAATCTTCTGATTGAAGGTCCTGGACGAAGAGGAAATATCATGTAATAAACTCAGATTAAAATCCTTTACTTTATATAAACATTGTTCAGAATAAAGCTATTTGATATTTGTAAAAAAAACAGCTTTCTACTTTATTAACGCCTTCTTAGATGACGTCATTCTGCAATGAGAAAAAACTCCTTAAAGATGCTTTTTTAATACGAGAAATCCCACTAATTTATGAAATCTTTTAGCGTATTAGCTTGAACCACACAGGGAGTTGCAGACTGTTATTATAGTGGGGGCAGGGGGCAGATTGTTGACGATGACATGGTTTTTGCAATCATTTTGAATAGCACATATTCAGATCCAAAAGTCCCCACTACTCTTTATCTTAATTATTCATTCTCCTATTAAAATTTCTGCCAATTTTACTATCTTATTCCTTTATTCTCTTGTAGTGTAAACTCAGTAAAGAGCGAAAAGGTTCAGCAGCAACTTCATCCTGTTAAAAACAAATACCGTCGCTACTGACACTTCAAAGCTCAACGTTTGAAACCCCTTATGTCCCACTTGGAACACAGACGCTTATTGATTTGGGTGGTCGACTTCCAACCACTAAGTAGTACTGACTCTTTCGAAACCTGCTCCACCTACCGAGGCTTGGGAAATCAGGTAGTTGTGGTTGTCCGAATAACATTTCATGTTAATTTTTTCGGATGAATGACAGAAATAAACTGAACTTTGAACAAAAAATGGTGGTGTTTCAAGTTGACACACTTTGGGGAGGCATATATATTTTTTTATTTATTTAATTTTTTTGATTACGGCTTGATTCCACACAGTATTTTTGGTACAGGTATGGAATTTTCAGCATGTGATATCGGTAGCCCAAATTTTGCAGGCCGACCATAGATATCAGGTGTGCGTCGGCGTGGGCTCAAACCCCGGACCATGTGCATGGTCGGCGAGAGTCCTAACCACTGTGCCACCGACGCACATATATATATATGCCTCCCCAAAGTGTGTCAACTTGAAACACCACCATTTTTTGTTCAAAGTTCAGTTTATTTCTGTCATTCATCCGAAAAAATTAACACGAAATGTTACCTGGACAACCACAACTACCTGGTTTCCCAAGCCTCGGTAGGTGGAGCAGGTTTCGAAAGAGTCAGTACTACTTAGTGGTTGGAAGTCGACCACCCAAATCAATAAGCGTCTGTGTTCCAAGTGGGACATAAGGGGTTTCAAACGTTGAGCTTTGAAGTGTCAGTAGCGACGGTATTTTGTTTTTAACAGGATGAAGTTGCTGCTGAACCTTTTCGCTCTTTACTGAGTTTACACCTACCACCAGCTAAGCGAGATTTATGGGTTCATCAGTTGGGGGGTCGAACCCTGACCATCAACACACACCAATGACCGGTGAGACACAGCCTCACAAATAATAACATAAATAAATATCAGTCCTTATGAAGCATCATTCAACCTTTTGAAATCCTGTGGAAATATCTTTGGAATTTTTTTCTTACAATCACATCATCATAGAGTATTTTGCAATTCATTTAGCCAAGTTATAAGTTGATACAATAGTCAATGAATAATAATACTTCTTGTATGGACACCCTAGTTAGTGATACTGCTTATATGCTTGGACATAATTCAAAACTACTGTATTATATATGTTTATATATATATATATATATATATATATATATATATATATATATATATATATATATATGAATAAAATATGAATACGTGTTAAAAACAACAATCACCTACTTTTGAAAACTTTTCCTTATTAACAGTTGAGTTGAATCATTATTGCACGATGAATCTGTACTACAACAACTACTACTACTACCATTAACAATACCCGATATCGATTTATCAAAATATGCCTTTGCAGTCTCTAAATCACCAAACTAAAGAAAAAGGAAAAAACAAGCATAGAAGGAAATTAACACAACATTATTATTTAAATCAATTTGGATTAGACCGAAGTGCTCGACATCAGGTATCTCAAGTTCTAGGCTCAATAAGTGGTGATCGGGAGGCAGAAAAACACAAGAGAACCAGACAGGCTTTAGAACAGGAAGAGAGGGTACATTAATCATATCTTCACCCTTCAACAGATTATCGACCATAGGCATACCTACTGTCGGCGTCCAGCAATCGTTATATTTTGATAGCACACTAGTAACTAGTGTGACGTGTCTAGTCCTTCTTTGATGCAGACTGAATCCTATCAGTTAGGTTTTGCAATGTGGCCATCATTCTAGGTAGCTCGCCATCACGGTGCCAGAGGAGGTCAGTGGCTATCCCGAATAGCTCAATGGTAACGTCTCTGACTGCAGCACTGGGGTGACGTGAGTTCGAATCTCAGAAGGGATATGAGTTCCTTCAAGGTGGCTGCGGATACGCCTTGCTGATGAGTGCCAACTAGCACGAAACCTAGGTCCAAAGCTTCTTGTGGCTGACTGCCTCCAACTATCTAAAATCGTTGTATTTCTTGACTTAAAGGTGGCATTCGATTCTGTCGACCAAGAGGTGCTATGGAGATGGCCGGCTGTAAAAAGAATGCTGAGAAAATGCATTGCACTGATCAAGGCATCTACTCGAACTCATGCAGCCAATAAAAGCCTACAGAGAGTTGTTACCTGAAGTGATGACAACCACTGGTACTTGTCAGGGATGCCCAATGTTCACATTTCTGTTTAGTTTCATTATAGATGTACTAATGGAATTAATCCTAACTTCTAACTTCAGCGACTCGTGGATTGACTTGCTACCAGGGAATAATTTCGTTGACTTAGAATATGCAGATGATATAGTCTGCTAGGTGAAGACGCTGACAAATCCAGCAGAGTCTTCTGAACACCTTGACCTGCAATCTACGAATGTTTGGCATGCGATTCGCTCCAGCCAATGTAAGATGAAGCTAGAGGACTGGACTATAATGACTCCTAGTTTACAAATACGGAGTGAAGTGGTAGACTACGTTGACCGCCTCACTTATTTGGGAAGTTGCATCAGCCAACCCCAACGAAATCTCAGCACCGATACAGGAGGCAAATTTTGCGCCGTCTCTGGCGTAAACGTGATATCTGGCTACTGACCAAAGGGCGGGTGTGCTGCTCATCAGTCCGCTCCATCCTCCTTTACGGCTGACTGTGAGACCTGGTCATTGAGAGTGGAAGATATGAAAAGCTTGGCTAGCTGTCTTTGATCATAGGTGCCTGAGTTCCATCTCCCGTGTGAAATGGTATAATAGGGTGAGCAATATTGAGGTCAGGCGACGAGTACTAGGTGGGTGGGAGCGAAAATCGATAGACGAGGCTGTGAAGTTACATCGGTTGAGAGAGATGGTTAGAACATGTGTTACGTATGCCTAGCCATAGCCTTCCTCGACAACAGACAATGTTATCCACTTACACAGGATGGACTAGGTTGGGAAAGATTGGCTAGTGGTGGTCAAGACAAACCATGGCTACATCAGTCAGTCAATAAAATCCATAACAGTTAGTTTAAGGCAGTGACGTAGGAAGGTGTAGACTTCCTGGTTGGGGTCCTCGGGACGGTAAACACCATTGACTGGAAACAATTGGTGATATGGCTCAAAATCGTTCTCAATGGCTGGCGCAGACGCATCCACTCCTTGTGACTTATAACTTCCAATGAAACTTTATTGTTCTTCGTTATTAGTATTCCTTGTCTCACACCTCTGTTTACTGTCTCTATTATGCATTTCTTGTGCTTTCTTCTCTTGTTTTGTGTGCTACATGGAGAGTGGAGACTTGAACTGTTGCACATCGGTGCAAAGTTCTATATCGAAAACAGACAAACATAAAAGATCATAGGATTTATACTAATAAACGCCCACTCAAATAACACATTCATTATAACCCCAAATAGGCAAACATAAACACTAATGAACTCAACACTCTTACAAATCACTACTCCCATTAATATTACACTAAAATACACAATAGGGTAGTCAGTAGGCTGTTTTTATTCTAAATGCCTTCAAAATGTGACATCCATTAGGGATGTTTACTGTCTGAATTCATATATCTAATCTTCTATATACATTTATCTTCTACAAGATTTCATCGTGAACTGAAGTCAGTTACAGAACCACTGGAAAACTAGCACTCAAGTACTGGACAGCTGTTTTGCCAGACTAGTTTCGGATTCATCATCAGTACACGACCAACCGACTGACAGGGTTCAAATCTAAGACCTTACTGTTACAAGGCGAGTTCGTAGACCATTAAGAGACTGGGACCCACCAATCCAATACCCAAGAAATAACGCGACTGTCACTAATCAATGTCATTGCTGGCGAGTATTTGTCCTCACACCCGACCTGCTGTACCCTACTGGTTCATAATAGATCTTATAAATTTCTCTGGAAAGTCGTTAGTCAGTTGGAAATCAAAGAAATACGATATCAATGTGCATTTTCAAGCAAATTAAAGATTAAAACAAAACCTACCTGTAAATAAATACGTCCGAGTAGACTACAAAATCCTCTAAGTGCAGCTTGATTATCTCTGTGTAAACAAGAAATTTGATGGACAACTTGAATGGCTGATTGATAGTCGAATTTTTGTAGAAAAATTGATAAACAACTAGACAGCAGGCGAATTTCACGACTTTTCCATAAATTCATTGAAGCTGAATTATGATTCATTTATCGTGGATGTCAGATTCGAGTAGGTGCGGGGGGGTAGGGATGAGAAGACAGAATGAAGATAAGAAGAAGACTATTCATTATTCACAGATAAATTATGAATTCTGTTAGGGAGTAAACTATGATATAGTCAAACTAAATGCTGGTTTTCCACTGTGTAACATTCATATTGTCCCTCTTTTCTCTCTCTCTCTCACACACATACCACTGACCACAACTTACCCCTTGAAATCTACACTTTCGCTTCAGCTGTTAGATTTCGTCACGAACCACAGTTATTGTGGTGAGAACTATCTGCTAGTCAAAATTGTAGACACCAATATTTACGTCAATGCTATTTACGTCCCGAATAGGGGTCATGAGAAAAAACAATAACAAAACCTAACCTTGAGGAACTCAACAACCAATCACAGCAGACTTAACGTGTGCAAATATAGTCCGCAGAAATATGACTTAACTTTCTGAGGAACGGTCACAAGTAGTACAGAAAAACCTCCAGCAAGAAAACGACCAATTAGGAAACTTTGCTTCTCTGCTAACAATAACGCTAATAATAATGTACATAAAAATCTATAAATATCTCTTGATTTTCTGAATAGACGATCTGTTGCCTGGCCGTTGTCTTCTGTCGTTATACTATCAGTCAAAAAGATTATTGAAAACCTAGAAGGGAACACTGGACATGGCTGTTTCCTTCTATTTTGGAACTCCTCAAAACACCTTCAGCACCCACGGCTCCGCTAGGGATCCACAGTCTAGGCGGGATCTTTAGGTTACGAGGATGAACTAGCTCGGCAACCATTCACCAGCCACTTCGGTTGGAAGTCAATGACTCGTAAATCCTAACTTGGTCAATTTGTGGCATGGTGCCACCCTAAAATTAATACCTCCATTGAGCATTCACTCCAAATCCCAACATATCGTATAATCGGAATACCAATCTCCAGTTCATTGATGCTTACTGAATGGATATTCTGACGCTGTTGTAGTTAGAAATCGTGGTCAGAGAGTTCCACTATTTCAACGTGAAGTGAGTTATAAATACATAAACATACACATCGCTGAGTTAGTCAATTAGGTTCAGGTTAACCTAAATAGAGAAATCCCTTAAAAATTATTTAAATTAATCCCAGCGTGTTAAGAAAATCAAAACAAGATTTTTCTGAACGTTTCGCTACGTAAGTCACAGCTTCTTTAGCAGATTTATTCGGATTTTTATTAATCCGAATATATCTGCTGAAGAAGCTGTGGCTTACACATTGGAACGTTGTTTTGATTTTCTTAACACGCTGGGATTAATTTAAATAATTTATAATGAATCAATCTGACTCGCTCAAATTATTCCAGGAAGTTCGTAACACCTACGGTCTGGAAAACCTATAATCTAATTAGAGAAATATTCGGGTTATTTAAGGATAGGTCCATGCGATGGTGGTTCAGTGGTTGAACGTTAACCTCACGTGTTCCGGGATGCGATCCCCAGCCGACGCATTCTTAAACCTTACCAAGCCGTAAACAAGGGTGGTTGGGCGTGAGGCCAGCAAACCCACTCCGTAAAAATAAACATCACTACTACCGAAATAATAAATAAGGACAGATTCGGGTTAGGATTGAGCTAGAAGCCTAAACTGCTGTTCTGTGGTGAGAGCTGGCTGTTAGCCAAATTGATAGACAGTAATTTACGTCAATGTTTATGTCCCAAATATTGGTCATGTGAAAACAAGAAAAAAGACTGACTCAACAACCAACCACAGCAGACCTTGCGTAGGCGGATAAAATTACCAAGAGATTATCTGACATTCAAGAAACAGTCACAGAGATGAAAGATTAACTTTCAGTGAGAAGAAACCAATCAGAAGACTGTGTCTTTTTGCCAAAAATAATCGATAATAATGTACAAGAAAATCTATAAATATGTGTTGATTTCGTGAATAAACGATCTGTTGCCTGGCACTTGTCTTCTGTTGCTACAGCTCTAGTGCAACTGCTGATGGATTCGAGTATCTTGGGTGTGTGTGTGTGTGTGTACGTGTCTAAGGTTGAACTCTAATCCATACTAGTACGAAACAGATGTCATATGGTCACTGGTATTCACAAACTCTTCGAGTTGATATACGGTGCTAGTAGCGAAAATAAAGTTAAATCTACACAACTTATGTACACAGAATAATAGCATTAAAAATATACGAATGAATTTAAAAAGACGGGGAGAGGAAATAATAAAATAAAAATCAGTGAACATTTACACTCTCTGTGGCAGGAGGCAACTGATGGTCGCAATCTCCCGCTCTTCGAGTCCATAGTGCCAACTGAATCCTATCAGTCAAGCTTCCGATGTGTCACCAACACCAACCTAGGTGACTCATCATCATGATGCATTTTGAACTGATATGACAGCTCACACTGGGATCTAGGCGGCTTCTTTTTGAGTGACTCAAACATCCAACATTTACCACATCGTAATCGTAATTGGCTGTAAAGGGAATACCGAGAAAATATATTGCACTGATTAAGGCACTCTACTCGTACTCATACAGCCAGGTGAGGGCTTACGGCGAGTTGTCATCTGGACTGGTGACGACTAGTGGTGTCCGTCAAGGATGCCCATTATCCCCTTTTCTATTCAATTTTATCATAGATATACTGATGGACTTAACCCTAAGTGACTTCAGTGACTCAGGGATTGACTTGCTACCTGGGAATAATCTCGTTGACTTAGAATACGCAGACGATATAGTCCTCCTAGGCGACGATTCTGACAAAATGCAGAGTCCTCTACACACCTTGAGCCGCAATCTACGAATGTTTGGCATGCGATTCGCTCCCGCCAAATGCAAGATGATGTTACAGGACTGGACTACATCGACGCCTAGTTTAAAAATAGAAAGTGAAGTGGTAGAGCACGTTGACCGCTTCACTTATTTAGGAAGTACCATCAGCCAGTGCCAACGGGTTGATCTCTGACGAAATCTCAGCACGAATACAGAGGGCTAGTTTCGCATATGCCAGTTTTCGCCGACTCTGGCGTAGACGTGATATCCGACTATCGACCAAAGGGCGAGTGTACTGCTCATCAGCCCTCTCCGTCCTCTTTTGTGGTTGTAAGACTTGGCCATTGAGAGAGGAAGACATGAAAGATTAGCTGTCTTTGATCATAGGTGCCTGCGCTCTATTTCCCGTGTAAAGTGGCATAATAAGGTGAGCAACATTGAGGTTAGGCGTCGAGTTCTAGGTAAACAGGGGAAATCAATCGACGAAGTCGTGAAGCTAGGGGTCAGGCTGAAAAAAGGCTAGCGGAGGTCAAACAAAAACTTGGCTTCACCAGTCAATGAAATCCACAACAGTTGGTCTAAGCCACGTAGGAAGGTGTAGACTTCCAGGCTGGGGTCCTCGGGACGGTAAAAATCTATGGTTGGAAACAATTGGTGACATGGCTCAAAATCGTTCTCAGTGGCGCAGATGCATGCACTCCTTGTGACTTATGATTTCCAATGAAACTGTTTTGTTCTTCGTTATTACCTTCCTTTGTCTCACACCTCTGCTTACTGTCTCTATTATGCTTTTCTTGTACTTTGTTCTCTTGCTTCGCGTGCTACACAGAGTGTGGCGACTTGAACTTCCGCACATATGTGCAAAGTTCTATGTCGAAAACAGACAGACAGACAATCGAATACAAACAAAGTTACAGTAAACCTCTAACCCCACACGATAATCTCCTGCGTCACCTTGGTGTGAATAAGCTGGATTTCAAATCCCTGTTATTTCATAGTATAGTAACATTTCAAGCAGCCAATCAGAGCTGCCTATTACACTGGTGACTTGGCTATATTTTTTTTGGTATGTGTGGAATACGTATTCCCTGAAGTGTGTATTACTGACACAAATTATCAGTAGTATACAAAGAGACGTTCAACGGTACAGATTTGACTCGTGAAAGAGAGCAAGTGAAACAGTTTTGCGGAAAAAAAACATGAAAACAAAGACAAAGAAGCTCAATACGAAAGAAATGGAAGAAGTAAGTAGCATAACACGGAAGACCTGTCTGTGCAAATGATTTCCACATAAGGTGTGCATACTTCCCCTATATATGTGTATATCAAATTGCAAGTTAACATTCCGTTACCAAGTCTCTTGTCTTCTACCGTTACACTCCCACCAAAAAGAAATTGACTAAATTACTCTACAAGCTAAGTGAGTCTTGAAACAAAGTATTTCATTTACTTCGTTGGATCCTCTTCAGCTGCTTCCAAACTTAAAAGCTGACTGTGTAAATATACACAGAATTCTGTCATACTTGTAAGGTTCAGCATGAATTTCGTTAACATAAGCACACACGCTAATACACAGTGTTCAGAAGTTCCACCTGTTTGAGTTATGAAGGAGGTCAAGGTTCAAACAAAATGCAAGCATGCAAAATTAATGGTCAGATATATATATATATATATATTGGAAATTGAGCTGCTGCATTGTCAAGACAAGAGGAGAGAAGTTGATGATGAGTATGGTGAGTTTAACTTAAGTCATAGTAACAAAAATAGTGAATTACATCAAAGCAAACAAAATGGGTGTTAGGGATAAAACTAAAGGATTATGTAATCGATTAGACGTTGAGTCACCAAGGCAAAGAAAGATTAATTAAGCGAATCTTTTTAATCACAGAGTCACTTTAAAATCACAAAGTCAGATTTTAAACGTTTGATAGAGATGGCTTCGGCAAATTTGAGGAGAGTTGAGTTGTACTGTCTATTAATAATCTTGAAGGATTTCCCGCTGCCCACCTGATGACCCATATCAACAAGATGTCTGCTGTAGCACTGCTTAAACCACTGGTTCCCTTGAGAGGTAAACCTTTTGGTACATGTTAAGAGGATCTGAGATACGCCCTCCCTTCTGTTCTGCCGAAGCTGTAACTGCTCCCGCAGATACATATAAATTTGGGTTAACATGGGAAGGATATTTTGATGGACACTAGTAACTAGTGTGATGTGTCAAGTCCTTTCTTTGATGCAGACTCAATTCTATCAGTCAGATTTTGCAATGTGGCCAACATTCTAGGTAGGTAGATAGGTAGGTAGTTGGAGGCAATCGGCAGGAAGCTCACCTGACCTACGTTTCGTGCTAGTTGGCACTCATCAGCAAAGGCGGATCTGCAACCTTGAAGGAACTCATGTCCCTTCTGAGATTCGAATCCGCATCACCCAGTGAGTTCCTTCAAGGTTGTAGATACGCCTCGCTGATGAGTGCCAACTAGCACGAAACCTAGGTCAGGTGGGCTTCCTGTGGCCGATTGCCTTCTACTCTCTAATATGGGAAGGATATCTCTATCAACCTTTGACTGTACCAAAGAATTTGTTGTTCAATGAACGAGAACCAATTTGGTTGCAGGATAGGTTTTAGTTAGACCCACTTTCAATCTTTGGTTGATTATTCCCGGCATGCATGCATTAACACACAACCACACAATATGGTAGGACAGGGTCATAATTCTAAAAAGTAACATAGGTAGGTGGAGAGAGAGGTTGATTACTGAATCTTTGTTCATCGAGTCTACACTCATACCCGAAATATGGAAAATACTACTACCAATCAAATCAAGAGATGGAAAATAATGGAGTTATATAAAAGAATTTAGAAAGTTGTGTGAATACCTTGATATGATTATGAGTGGCAATAAATTGTGCTCGAAACGTGGGGTTATCAGTAAATATTACTGTATAACACTGTGAGACTTTATCAAAATAAATTTTACCACAATGCATAAGTTTTATTCTTATATGCATGGATTATACTTTGAAGGCAACATATTGAACCTACTAAGCAGGTGGTTCTAGGAATTGTGTACTACAAACAAAGGCAAATTTATATTTTCCTCCATTCCTTGCTTTGTTACGAATACAACATAGGGGGCTGCATGCATTTTGAATTTTCTGTAGTCACGTGATATTGATTGTACAGTCATTTAGCTTCAAGCTCAATTTTCCACCTTTTCCGGGCAGCTGAATACCCCACCCCACCCCAGCTAGGCGAGGTTTAAGAGTGCATTGCTGGGGAATCGAACCCTGACCTTCCGCATATTCATGCTGCTGTTACAAAAACCTATCCAACCACCTCCTTGTTGAATAGGTCATACCACGGATAACAGAACCTATAAATAATGATGACATGTGTATGGGACTACAAGCATAGGTAAAAATAAGACTTACTTTGTCGATACACAGGATCTGATTCACTTGTCAAACCGTCTTCTTTAAAACCTTTCTCAAGATTACTTCGAATCTACATAACAAAAATTAAAAGAAGCAAATATGAGAAAGAAAGAATCCTGAGTAAAAATAAGAATTAAACTAACGGGGTATCGATCACAAACAATTAAAGCAAACTGACAACCAGACGAAATCCACTCAGCAAACCTTTGTATGTCATTCTCTAGCCGACGAATGATATAGACACAAACCAAGGATAAGCTAGATGGTTTTGCCACATTTATGTATTGTATTTATCCATTCAACTGCTCCTGCGGTGACAGTTATATTGAGCTTACTAACAGCCAGCCTCTTAGCCAACTTATTACTGAACATCTTCCATTGTAATTTGACAAAGGACTGACAAGAAACTATCCATAGCTGCGTTTCATCACATCTACTTGATAGCGGCCATTTAGTGAAGAAGACGATGGTATTCAAGGTGATCCAACAGAAATCCTGCATACATAGTTTGCTGATAAATGCTAATAAAAAGTTAATTTAGACCAAATTGTGTTTCATTTATTAATTTACTTATGAAGGAAATAAAAGACAAATTCAGCGAAGAAAATAATTCTTTATCAATGAAATCACCTTTCAGAGGCTGTACAGTCGTATTTATACTTTACATTTTTGGTAAATACAAACACAACTGTTCAGCCTCTGAAGATGATTTCGTCAATAAAGAACATTTTCTCCGCTGAATTCGTCTTTTATTTCCTTAATTTAATTTTTTGATTTTTTTAATTATTTTATTTTATTTCTTTTTAATTTTGATTATAGGTTGATGCCACACTGTATTTTTGGTACAGGTATGGAATTTTCAGCATGTGATATCGGTAGCCCAAATTTTGCAGGCCAACCATAGATATCAGGTGTGCGTCGGCAAGGAAATGAAACCTGGACCATGTGCATGGTCGGCGAGAGTCTTAACCACTGTGCCACCGACGCACATGACTCAATGGGTATTTTTGGTAATTTACTTCTAATAAATATTTAACCAGAAGAGCATTTTCTCTTCTCATGAGTTGATTTGTTTTTCGAGTTTGACCACGGATTGATATCAGTTGGAAAACGATTGGAAACCACAGAGTAATGCATAGCTCTTTCACCCCCACTTAAGGGATCATCAGCAGTACGCATCCACTGGAGTTTGAACCCTGGACCTTACCGTTACAGGGCAAGCTAGCTCGTCTCCCTACCATATATAAAAGATATCTCAGAAACCACTGAAAGACTCTTCAAACCTTTAGGTATTGACGTCGCACACAAACCAACAAAATCACTTCACTAAGCCAGTCCTATGTCAACCAAAAGACTCAACAGCGAAGGAAGATAAAACTAACATCATCTACAAAATGAATTGTAACAACTGCTAAAAACACTACAGTGGCCAAAGTGGACGTCCCATTAGTCTTTGTATCCGCGAACATAAGCTAGCCGTCAGAAGACATGATATCCACTTCCTCATATCACTACATACAGAAAACCACGGATATCAATTCGACTAGGGCAACGTTCAAATATTAGACAGAGGAAACACCAAGAATGCTAGAGAATTTTTAGAAGCTTGGCACTCCAATGAATCATCAGTCAATAGACACATCGATAAGAAAGAAACCTCATACACAAAGGGTCAAAGTTTAAGTCAAAGAAGCAATCAGTTCCAATAAAAGTAACCTAGAAGGTGTGAAAACACACAAAAACAACCAATCACGTCCAAGGTCACCCACCAGGAGAGATGATTAATAAACTCGTGGAGAAATCTAAAAGCTCACTTCAACAGATTGAAGTATGCACTGAAGATGTCGCCTAGTAGGGTGATGAAAGCTTTGCAAATCAACTAACTCAGAGAACACAACCACATCAAAATCATCCACCTGAGCTACAAATCTCCTCTATCATATCTAAGCTGGCTGGTATACCATTCAGCCACTGGGACGCGACTCCTCAACAGCCAGCCCAAGAATTTTAACTTCTACCGATTTGTGATGCATTTAGCGCGACGACGAACCAATATCATCGGTGAGAAATTCATCCTCACGCTTGATTTGGTTGGGCCTCACTGGTCACGACTTCTAACTAGAACTCCAGGAAACTCCTTCCTACAGCAAGTCACTAGCGAGCATCAGATTAAATTTCAAGAGCTGGTTTGTAAGGACTACATTTTTTACGAGCTAGACCACGGATTGATAACAGTTAGAGAACCAGAAAGTACCGGAAAGCTGTTTCATCCTGGGTGTTTTGTGAATTATGACCTATTTTGCATACAAAATACACGATTACTAGTTGCAGTTATTATTATACATAAATATGGCATTCAGTTGATTTGAACTGATTCCCTATTTGAGCTGAGACTGACGACCACCAGGTATACTCCCTGACGAGGTTACCACCAACCCCTCCAAATGGATAAAATGACCCTCTCGCGTATATATCATTTCCAGCCGGTCAGCAATTATTCAAGTCAACCAAAAGCATACACACCATCATGACACTTCGTTCGCTCTTTCTTGATTGCCATTTGTGCTATCATACATTATGATGTAACATACATTCCTCGACTTCCACCGAAATTTGTGATGAGCTGCTCACCTCGAACCGTGTAATTTACAAATGACAAATTTAAGTCAGTTCTACTTATAGGCGTATGTTGAAAACCTCAGTTAATTAGACCTGAATTGACTGAAATATGAGCCGGATAGTTATTGTATGAAAGCTGATCGGTCATACACCACCACCACCACCCAGCTGCTCAAGGTGAATCGGGATTCAAAGTCGGGGCCTTTACTGGTTGAGAGTCAAGTAAATGATTGTAAGTTCACATGAATGATGCTCGGGGAGGCTTCGTGTACTATTGAAAGTGTGTGGTCAGTTGCTACTTCCCGGCTGCCCACACCACAGAAGTTGATTGATTCTTCGGGTACACGGAACAGAAAGAGGATTAGTGTTGCTTGACCGCAGAGCCCAGGGGACAACTGTTTGAGGCCAGTCACACACACACACACTGATTTCTTCGTTTGGTTCCGTATTAGTAAACTTACCCCCCGTTACGGACCACCGTAGGGTAAGTCGGGATGTACAGTTTTGGGGTCGACCTTTTCTAACCCCCTCTCTCCAGTGTAGAGAGACAGCATAGCTGGCATCCTGGTCATCTGAGGGAAACACCTCACTGCTGTTACACATCCCTGTTCCCTAGCAGTACAACTTCGCCCACAGACCCCAGCATAGTGTAAAAAAGAAAAAAAAATCTTACACAATGCCGGTAACTGTTTTTAGTCTAATCACAATCCTAACAACCTTCCTGGCATGGTAGGACCTGCAGGAACAATAGTTCCAGTCAGTATAGCTTGTTGGCTCATTGCAATGTGGAAGCCCGACCACCAGGTCAATGTGGCAGCTATCGGCCAGGGTAAGTTCACATAGTCATCATGTACACATATAGGTAGGGAAGATTCACACACGAAAGTATACAAACAGTATTTTAAGAGATATTACAGTTAAATCAAAGTAAATATTGATAATCAATACATACCCGAACAATTATAGCGTGTAAATAATACAAACGATCTAATGCTTCAGTAGGACGATTTAAATGAAACGGTAATTCAGCATGAAGTAATCTTAAGGAGAATGGAATAATAGAACCTAAAGTCAAAAGAAAGTTAACAAATAAAAGTCATATTATACATGAAGTGATTAGCTTAGCATACATTTTATGAAATTCAGTAGAGATGTGGCATAACCTGTAAAACACTTTCAATATAGATGTTTTCTGAAGGAGTTCATTTGATATCATGCGAATACAGCCAGTCGATTTGGAGTACATAGACGATATTGCCATGTAGGGAGGTGTAGACTGGTTGGTTGGTTGGCTAGTTGAGGTCCTCGAGGTGACGGTAAGAACCAATGAAGGTGACTAAAGACAATTGGTGATCATATGGCTCAAAATCCTCGTTGTCAATGACAGTGTAGATGCATCCAATCTATGTCATTTGTCAGTCAAATTCAAGGAAACTCTAGTGTCCTTCCAAATTACCTACTATTCTTTTTCCTTCATACTTCTGTTTATTATCTTTCTCTCCCTTTTGAATCTCTACTCTCTTCTCTTGCTTTGAGTGCTACATGGAACGAGAGTGGCAACTGTAACTGATATACATCTGTGCAAAGTTCCATGTTTAATCCAGTCAGTCAGTTGGTATTATCAAACGGGGCGAGCAAATACGTGAAACAGTGAGGTTATGCATTTTCAATGACTAAAGTAACTGGGACAGGTGTTTAATTCCTACCAAGATATGCACATACAGGCTGCGAGTACCTCAGTTAACGCTGATGTTCACCATACTTTATGTACATCTATCCGTCCGCTTAACTCTTTTTTTTTACTTTCCAACGGGAAATAAAGCTTCACACTAGAGCTTGAGATTTTTGGTAACACTGATGTTTACTTTTACGAGGTGGAGTTGCCGGGACTTCTCTCTTCACCGTTTTTATTACCGGCTAAGAGAGGCTTAGTAGTGAGCGTCCGTCGGCCAAGGATCGAACCTCGAACCACATGCGGGATTGGCAAGTATTCTACTGCGGTACCGCCGACGTACCCACCCGCTTAACTCTGGTCAGTCACAAAGATTCAAGAGTTTGAAAATTCTGACAGTCTACTCCAAAAGGACGATTTGGAGTGAAAACAAAATATTTGATCAAAATAACCTATTCAGTATCCATAATTGAAACAGTTGTACTGTTGTCTCAGATTTTTATTCACATAATAGTACTTAGTTTTCAAGTTAACAACATTTTGTGCCACTACAGTTTAATTCAGAAATAACCCTCATCCAGGCATTAATGAAAACAAAACACGTAGTTCAACGAAGTGTCTCTTTTCGGCGGCGAATTCATTTCCTTAGCTGTACACTCGCAATTATATACAGGTTATTTTGTATGCATGTGTACATTCATGTTGTACAAACAAAAATACAATTGATTATGATTATTTTAACAAAAGGGGGGGGGGAGTGAGAATTAGTAAGTTTTACGTGGAATTAAGTAATACAAAAATGGTCAAGAAAATTGGGTGTTAATGAAACTAGGGTAGTAATAAAGGTGGTGGGTTGTGAGAAACAGTTGTTAAAAAGGACGGACGTAATAATATATCTGAGAGTGAAAAGCCAAGAAAATGAATCCGCTAACAAAAAGAGACTATTCGCTGAATTACGTGTTTTGTTTTCATTAATACCTGGATGGGGACTATATTCATGAGTTAAAACGTAGCAAGGACCCCTGGACAGTCAAGGAACTCAATGAGTTTCTGAGGTACTCTGTGAAACTTGCTGTGGAGAATGCGAAAGTTGGTTTTTCGGAGGATTGAGTCACAAATCATCAGTATCCAAAATGGTTCTGGAAAGTATTGCGACGCAATCAACTGTATATCCAAATATGAAGTCCCTTCGATGTCATGCAATGAATTGTGATGATTCTAACAGATCACGCATCCCTGAACTGTAGTGGAATATTTATCAAACATCCTGAGTAAACGTCAATCATCAAATTATTCATATTATTACGTAACTCCTTTTTAACATCTGTTTGTGACAACTCATCACCTTTATTGTTACCCTAGTTTCATTAACACCCAATTTCTTGGCCGTTTTTGTACTACGTCACTCCACCCTAAACTTACTAATTCTCACTCCCGGCCTCCTTTAGTTAAAATAACCAAACCAACACTTGAATACCAATGAGATGCTCACTGGCGACTGGCCCTATTCAGGTAGGTAGTTACCTGGGTTCCAGTGGGAAGTCGTGACCAGTAGGTCGCAGCTGGTCGGGTGTGAGGACAAATACTCGCCGAAGACATTGGCTAGCGGTCACGCTATGTCGCGAATTGGCAGAAGTTGAATTCAAGGACCATTGGATCGGGTCCCAGTGACTCAACGGTCTACAAGCTGGCTCGCCTTCTAACCAGAAGGTCCTGGGTTCGAATCCCGGTGGGTGCGTACTGATGAAGAGTCCCAAACTAGTTTGACGAAACAGCTGTCCAGTACTCCCAGGTTTTCCAATGGTTCTCTAACTAATGTCAGCTCATGATGAAATCCTGAAACCAATCAAATCCCTACAAACCAACACTTGAATTGTATTTTTGTTTGACAAACTTAATGTACACATACGTACAACATGAACATTAACCAACAAATAAATCATTGATACACTGGTGTCATTTTTCGACAAAGATGTCACGCAAAACTGGGACAAATGCATACATGCAAGGAAATCAGAATCGGTGGTAAAGATAAGTTAAGTTAATGTCTATATAATCGACCAATGAATCCCTAACTAGCAAAACCAGAAGATTGAAATAATAAAATTTAAAAAAATATAAAGGAAATATTACTACCAGAATTTATTCACAAATGTGTGAAGAACCATAGAAAAAATTAGACTAGTAATGAAAGTTACAAAAATAATATAGAATTCAAAGTCCCTGTGATACTGCCGTATTTAGAAGGAACGTCAGAAACCTTACTCAGGATTCTCAATAAGGGCTGGAATTAGGGTGGCAATTAGTTAGAATGATTGACCCTGATAAGTTAATCAACCCAGAAGAAAGCTCAGCCATTGCACTGCATTCATCAGCATATAATTAATTACAAAACAGAGTGGGACAAGATGAAAGTATTAAAAAGTAGTACAGTTAGGTGGAGAGACAGAGAGGTTAATCAGTGAATCTTTGTTTATCGATTCAACACAATACACGTGCAATCGGGATGACACAGCGCCTATACCGAAGATATGGAAATTGGCAAGAAACCACAAGGGGAAGTTGAAGAGACAGACAGAGAGAAAATATACATATGAGAAATTGTGAAGCCATGTGACTAAATTGGTGTGATATGAGTGGCAATAATTTACGCTCGAAACATCATTCAACTATTAACACTGTGAAACTGTGTGTGACCATTAGATCGGGTCCCAGTGACTCAACGGTCTACAAGCTGGCTCGCCTTCTAACCAGAAGGTCCTGTGTTCAAATGCCGATGGATGCCTACCGATGAAAAGTCCCCAACTAGGACGAAACAGCTGTCCAGCACTCCCAGGTTTTCCGGTGGTTCTCTAACTGATGTCAACAACTCATGATGAAATCCTCCATGCAATCAAGCAAAAATCCCTACAAAAACAATACTTGAATATTTGAAAGAAACTTATCTAATATGGAATTTTACATTCGACCACAGTGTCAGATCCTTCGTTTCTAATACTGACGGTTGATTTACTACATCTGAAGAAGTCACAGACTCCTGAAAAGTCAACAAAGTGAGTCATATTCACACGCCATATCAGCTGGCTCGTAATCTAATGTTGATCAAGCTTAAGGGGTTTTCTCGACATTAGATTTACTTGAGACTACAGGAGCAAGAAAATGAAGAAAACACCGCATGTGTTCAAATTCCTACGGGTATGCAGATACTGCTCAATTATCTATGTATGTTGCCAGCAGAGGTATTTTTAAACTGCCAACTTTAACTTGCGCTTTAGACGTTTATGCTTACGACAACAACCAATAACACAGCCAGGAATGTAACTCGGCCGACGGTATCCGAGTGTTCTGTGAAGCCTTTCAAATAATACACTTGGATAATTATACCTCAAGTCTGAATTAGACACATTGGATAAGCTAGAAAATGACTTTAAATTCAATATCTCATGGTCACACATTGACTAGGAATCTCACCGGACCGTGAAGTAGTACTGCAGCGATAGAAGAAAGAGCCAGGCAACAGATCGTTTATTGAGAAAATCAAGAGATATTTATAGATTTGTAAGTGCATTTTTATTAGTGTTATTGCTAGCAGAGAAGCAACCTCTTCTGATTGGTTGTTTTTTTTGCTGTAGGTTATTCTGTCATCTCTTTGTGACCGTTTCTTTGAAGGTCAGGTTATATATCTACTAATGGTATCCGCCCACGCTAAGTCTTCTGTGATTGGTTGTTGAGTTCCTCAAGGTTAGACTGTTATTGTTTAATTTCGTGACACCGATTCAGACGTAAATATTGACGTAAATCAGTGTCTACAATTTCGGCTAGCAGACAGCTCTCACCACAAAACTATGATTGTGAGTACCATGCTCACTGTATCTTCCTTTGTGCTTTAAACAGAAAAGTGGATTTTGTGTAATTAGTTTAATATCGTCAGGGATGATGTACAATAATGGTCATCCATTTGTCAAATTAACACTAACCACCCTAACTTTATTCGCTAAAGTATAAGAACACAGTCGAAGCTAATAAATATAGGCTGACAGTCACATATACATACATATACAAAACCATTCTCTCTCGACTAATTGACTAAAACTAACCTGTTCGTCCAGGATACAATTCAGGTGTATATTCAAAATAAACATTTGGTGCATCTAAATTTTGAAAGGTGGCTAGTTCACGTTCAGCCAGTTCATAATTCCGTGTACGTACTAATAAGGCTAGTCGAGTAAGCCAAATCTAAGAGGAGAAGATAAAGAAAAAACTGAACAAGGAAATATAGGAGAGAGGAAAACACTACTGAATACAATGTATGCGATGTGAAGTAGTCATTTACAGCTTAGTATACCTCTTAGTTTACAGCATTTCATCGTCAGCTGACATTGTTTAAAGAAACAATGGAAAACCAGCATTGAAGTACTGGACAGCCAGCTATTTCACCAGCCTGATCTGGGGCTCTTCGGCAGTACGCACCCACCCCACTGCCATGATTCGAACCTACAACCTTCCGGTTATGAGATGAGCTCATAGATCATTAAGCCATTAGGACCCGTCAATCCAATGTCCAGCCCAAGAATTAAACTTCTGCTAATCCACGCACGATACAGAGCAGTTGGCACTGGCCAATGTCATCGCTGGCGAGCATTCCTCGTCATACGCGACCTGCTGTACCCAACTAGTGACGACTTCATATTAGAACCCAGGTAAATTGGCAGCAGTTGGAATTCATGGGCTGGCGGTAATTCAAGAGTCTTTGATCATAGATGCCTGTGTTCTATCTCCCGTGTGAAGCTGTATAATAGGGTGAGCAATATTGAGGTTACGCGTCGAGTTCTAGGCAAGCAGGGGAAATCAATCGACGAGGCTGTGAAGTTACATCGATTGATATGGTTAGGACATGTGTCACGCATGCCTAGCCATCGCCTCCCTTGACAATCGGCAATGTTAGCTGACATAAGGTCAGGTTGGAAAAGAGCCAGTGGTGGTCAAACCAAAACATGGCTTCATCAGTCAATGAAATTCACAACAGTAAGTTTAAGCCAGCCACGTAGGAAGATAGAGACTTCCTGGTTGGGGTTCTCAGGACGGTAAACACCAATGGCTGGATACAATCGTGTGATATGGCTCAAAATCGTTCTCAATGGCGTAGATGCATCTACTCCTTGTGACTTCTAATGCCCGATGAAACTATTTTGTTCCTTATCATTACTATTCGTTTTGTCTCATATCTCTTTTTACAATCTCTATTTTGAATTTCCTTTTTACTTTCTTTCTCTGGCTTTGTATGCTGAATGAAGTGTGGCGACTCAAACTGCTGCAACATCGGTGCAAAGTTCTGTGTTGAAACAAGTCAGTCGGTCTACAAACTCGCCTTGGAACCGGATGGTCTTGAGTACCCCCCTGGGTGAGTACTGAAGAGCGTCTTAAACTGGACTGACAAAACCGCTCTCCAGTATTCGAGTGCTAGCTTCCAATAGTTCTGTAGCCGATATCAGCTCATGATGAAATCCTGTGACCAATTAAATCTAATCCGTGAAAACCAACAAACACTTGAATATTCACCTTAGTTTACTGATTCTGATATACAAAGAATACCAAATTAAGTCATTTTCCCATCGATATCTAAATATTTTGTTCCACCTGAGGCTTATCATAGACAAAAGGTAACAAAATGACGTTAGGTCAGTAACTCAGGGGATAACGATTTGACATTCGAATGTCAGTGAAGAACACAATCCATGCAAAGATGTACAGTTGATGAGTCTTAGACTGGATGAATTGTCCATCGTGGATTCCTCCAAGTGGAATATCAGGCTTCAACCTCAAGTTTTGAAGTTTCAGTGGCAGTAATGGTGGGTTTTTTCTACAGGTGGAGTTGTTAGTCATACACCCAACATTTTCCCTCTTTATCCGGTTTACTACCGGCTATAAACGAGGTTTAGGAGACAGCCCATCAGTCGGGAATCGAACCCGAACCCTGGGTGTGTGTGGACAGCATTCTCCACTGAACCATCAACTTATTGTAACCTATCATAGTCGTTCATAACTTACAATATAAATAAAAACAAAATGTTTACTTTGAAATAACTACCAACATATATATTTGAAGTACCTTCTCTGACACAAACCAAGTCTTCGGCTGTCAACTGGTCACATTTTTATTTCTCTAACCAAGTGAAGTATACTGTGGTATGAAGGAAAATCTTCCTCTTTCTTATTTATGTCCAAACCAAGTTCACTTTTAACAGACTGATAAACTTTGGGCATTAGGTATATGATATTCATTATAATAAAGGTTTTCTTGTATTTCCCAATGAATGGATGAAAAAGAAAACGATATTGTCGTTGTTGTTTTTACTGACGTTTCGCTATTTAATGCTGCTGCTGCTGCTAATAGCCTTATCAAAGTAGTATTATTAAACCAGAATTCACAAAATCCACTCAGCTTATATACATATAACAACTCAACTTAATCATCGTTCCTAAGAATGGCGCCATTTTTACGTTGTTGTCAAACTGGCCAATTGGTAAAGATAACAAAACCAGGTGTAGATTGATGGATTTGATAAGTGTGTAAACTTGTAAAAGCAGTGTGTGTTTACATAATGAAATTCCTTATGACATTCGAGTTGATTTTGTATTTTTATGCGGGAGGGGAATGTTGTAACCAGGTCAAATTCTGCTTCAGTCCATCACTCCTATTCAGACAACTTGAATTCCATATGATATGAAGGACTTCGGATGTTGTACATTCTTTGTGATTTCTGAAATTTTTCGGGGCTATTTCAATATTGTCAAAATGAGTTTTGTGGCTTGATTCTACAGCGTGTAGACATATGGCTGATGATTTTTCAAGTTTTTCCAGTTCAACTGGGTTTCTGGGTGGTCGACGAGATGCTCCGCGGTGTTCATTTCTTCTGATTTCGATTTCTCGAGATGTTTGTCTGAAGCATATCGCATCTGATTCCAAGTATTTTATTTTATAGACACAATTAGATAGATAATCCTTAGGGATTTGGTCTTTTATGTGGACAAGGTTGCCTTACAGTTTGTCTGATGTTTTGAAGAAAACTCTGATGTTGTGCTTATTGAGTACTCTTCTGATATCATCTGACGTCTCTACTCTATATGGAATGACAACTATTGAGGTCCATATCCTGCAGAATACGTTTTCAACCATACTTAATGTCAGTGTTGATTTTGTTGATGAAGTTCGTTGAGTGGTTGTTTTGCTTGAGAGTGTCAGTAATGTTTGATATTTCTTCTTCTTTTTCTTTCTCATCCGTTGTCATCAAAGATTGTGCTTATCTAAGAAGACTTGAAACAACGACATTGAAATAGCCCTGAAAAATTTCAGAAATCACAAAGAATGTCCAACATCCGAAGTCCTTCATATCATATGGAATTCAAGTTGTCTGAATAGGAGTGATGGACTGAAGCAGAATTTGACCTGGTTGTGACACACCCCTCCCCATCCATGAAGTGACAAAATCAACTTGAATGTCATAAGGAATTTCATTATGTAAACACGCACTGCTTTAACAAGTTTACACACTTATCAAATCCATCAATCTACACCTGGTTTTGTTATCTTTACAATTGGCCAGTTTGACAACAACGTAAAAATGTCGCCATTCTTAGGAACGATGATTAAGTTAAGTTGTTATATATATATAAGCTGAGTGGATTTTGTGAATTCTGGTTTAATAATACTACTTTGATAAGGCTATTAGCAGCAGCAGCATTAAATAGCGAAACGTCAGTAAAAACAACGACAATATCGTTTTCTTTTTCATCCATTCATTGGGAAATACAAAAAATCTTCCTCTTCCCTAATTGCTGAAGTTGGAATCCCTCAAAGTGGGCGGTGTTCTCTCTCTCTCTCTGCTTTTCATTCTTCTTACATGGCTTACCTCTTCCGAATGAAATTGATTTCAGTAAATATGTTGATGATCTGGTTGTTGTAAACTGAATAGCCTAATGCAAAATGTCGACCAATGGTCTACGCTAAACGGTTTTACCTTAAATTCCTTTAAACGTCAAACAGTTAACTTCACCTTCGGGTAGAAATGTGATCACAAGATGCTTGTAACATAGAGGGCTTGGAATAGTTTTATCCCCTGGAATCACTCAACTTCTACTTTTACCATTTTACTAACTCTTGCATCTTACCTACTTTACTTTACTGCTCTCCCCCTTAGTCTTTCCTGGGCTCATCAAAATAGACCATGTCATATGGTGAAGGGTATTAAAGGTTGTCAGCAGGGCAGGGCAGGGCAGGTAAATGGTATACCACCAAGTCAGCCAGCTTATTACTATTGTAGTCGACAGACACCTGAACTCTTGTGATAAATGATCTAAATCCATGTAGTCTGACTCTGAACACATCAACCTCGCTACTCACAACTACCCCATTATAGGAGATTATATGCTCGTACAGGCAAGTATAAAACTCCTATTTGGCCCGACCATGTTCTATGTGATAGAGCTAATATTAAGCGCGAAACATACGAGTTACTATGTTATTAGCAAAATAACTGGCCCTTTCATTCTCTCCTATTTGTAATCAATTTTTGTTAATTATACCCTGTGTAACAAATTCTTCGGTTTTATTTTTGCTGTTGTCGAGTAAATTTAGAGAATCGCACACACTATAAGTACTGTTTTGGAATAAAGCATATTATTATCATTATTTAAAAATATAAATCAGACTTGAAAGAAGGTTTTAAAAGAAAGAAAGAAAGAAAGATGATGGTTACCACCTACCTGAGCAGTGTACGGAGTCAACACCGACCCACCTTTGCCCTCTTCAAATCCCATATTTGATAGAATACGATAGGTAAGACTTAAAGCGCAGGTATACCATCCATTAGCCTGGAAAACAAGAAGATCACTGGGAAGTGAAATGTAAATAACACCTTTTGAAAACTGATCAACCACAACTATGTAGTGCGTTGGACAGTTTTCTATTATAGTACTAAATCTCTGTTGGTATAAACAATCGTATGACATTAGAGGGTTGTCTATGCCAAGGTAACCAACCAAAATGCAGATGAGTCGGTGACTGAATGGCTCGCAGTGTAGTGAGTGACTGAATCGATTATGAGTCGGTGGCACAGCGGTTATAACTCTCGTCGATCATGCACATGGTGCAGGGTTCGATCCCCTGCCGACGAAGCACACCTGATGTCTATCGTCGGCCTGTGAAATTTGGGCTACCGATATCACATGCTGAAAATTCCATACTTGTACCAAAAATACAGTGTGGAATCAAGCTGTAATCAAAAAAATAAATAAATTTTCTGTTGTAATTAACCTCTATTCTCTGTAATTAAATATTTTCAAGAGTTGGTTTGTACGGATTAGATCTGCTTTTACGAGTTGATTACAGATTGATGTAAGTTAGGGAACCATTCAAAACCAGCGCTGGAGTACAGGACAGCTGTTTCATCAGTCTCGTTTGGGAATTATCGGCAGTACGCACCCACAACCAGGGTTCGAACCCAGGACCTTCCGGTTACAAGACAAGCTGGCTAGTATACCATTGAGCCACCGGGACCCGATTCAATGGCTAGCCCATGAATTCTAACTTCTACCAATTCGTGATTTAGCGCGACCACCAACCAATGTCATCGGTGGGAAATCCATCCTCGCACACTTGACAGGATGGACCTCATTGGTCACAACTTCTCACTAGAACTGACTTCAGGAAACTCCGTCCTGTAGCAAGTCACTAGAACAGTTTCATTATTTCTGATAACAAATATGACCTAAATAAATATCCATCAAGTTTTTAACAGCTGCCACCCACCCAGCCATCAAATTTACAATTGAAGTGGAAACCGAACACTCTCCTTTCTCGATATCCAACTATCATAGAAAACCGATGGGACTTTGAACAGACCAGCATATAAGAAGCCTACGTGGAATGGTCAGTTGCCATAACATCTCTTGCGGCTAGAATCCCAAGAGTTGGGAGCCCCGAATCAGCAGAAGAATACATCAGTCTGTTGACGACGACACTACTTCCGAATGGCTATCTTATTCTTTATAGATAAACACGCAAAGCTCAAAACCAACAAAGAACATTCCATCTCCATGCCGAAGATTTGACACATGAGTATGGCGTTTAAAGGCGACCTTCTGGCCGATATCGTAAAGAAAAGAACACTTAACGCCCTGAAAAGAACATGTTCTGCTGCTACATTATGACTGGTATTCTCATGCCACTTATTGTTCTTCAACAACTCTAAAGATAGACTACCGTGCGTGACCACATCTGTAGAACGAGCGAGATATATAAGTCGTTCGAGCCAAAGAACATTATTCCTCTTCGTTACGTCAGGGTAACAGTGGGTCAATAAGGAGTGCTATAACTGAACATATATTCAACACTGGTCACTCAATATGTAGGAAGAATTCATTTAAAGTCATCTAAAAAGTCAAAAGAAGTCTCCCGAAAGCATCCGTATACATTGCAACGCTGAGGTCTTAGCCATTCGGATGGTAAATCCTGATTTATGTACACAAATGAAACTTCTCATCCCCTTCTTGTTTCTACCTTCGGTATAATTCCAAGTTCAACTTTTTTGTTATTAATACTATTTTGTGCATTTTTTGTATAACATTTTAGTGACACCTTTTTCTTGACCACCCCTCCATTCACTCCTTTTACTTACTACATAATTTATTTTGGAAACTTGTCTCCATGCCCTATTTTACTGGAGATTTTTCATATTACACAACCCTAGTTTACACACGCTAATCTTAGCTGTCTTCGTTCATAGGTACCTGCGTTCTATCTCCTTTGTGAGGTGATATAATAAGGTGAGCGATAATGAGGTTAGGCGTCGGTAGAGTGCTCGGTAAGGAGGGGAAATCAATCGACAAGGATATGAAATTACATCGACTGAGATGGTTAGGACACGTGTTACGTATACCTAGTCATCGCCTTCCTCGACAATGGGCAATTTTAGCTGACATAGGGTCAGACTGGGAAAGAGCTAGCGGCAGTCAAACCAAAACATGGCTTCACCAGTCAATGAAATCCACAACAGTTAGTTTATGCCATCCAGTCACGTAGGAAGGTGTAGACTGGCTTCCTGACTGGTTGGGGTCCTCAGGACGGTAAAAACCAATGAAGGCTGGAAACAATTGGTGATGTGGCTCAAAGTGATCGTTCTCAATGGCTAGCGCAGATGCATCCGCTCCTTGTGACTTATGATTTCCAGTGAAACTATACTGTTTTTCGTTATTACTATTCCTTTGTCTGACGCCTCTGTTTACTATCTCTATTATGCATTTCTTCTACTTTCTTCTGTTGCTTTGTGTGCTACATGGAGGGAGTGTGGCGACTTGAACTTCTGCACATTAGTGCAAAGCTCTATGTTAAAAACAGACAGACAGACAGACTCGTTAATCTTCACTTATCCCCCATTGTTACAGCTTGATTATTCATCGCACTTTTCGAAATATTCTGAGGAAGTAAACAACAGCCCTAACTAAATTCAATTCTCGTTTGACAGACGTAATGTACACACACACAAATAGGTATATATAATTGCAATATCACAGCTAAGTGAATGAATTCACCGGCGAAAAGAGACTCCTCGCTGAACTGTTTGTTCTTATGATCCATGTCTTGATGGGCGTTTTTCATGGAGAATTCATGATGTCGATGGTCGGGGGTGGGTGCCTTGCGCTGCGGGTTGGCCACCCCTCCGCACACCTCTTGAAATGCTCCCATATGACCGGGCGTCTTACATAGCCTCTCCTGAGGAAGTCCTACTCACTGCCTTCACGTGGCGGAGGTGTTTCTCACCAAAGTGAGAGGGCGAAAGCGGATGCCCGGCGCTCTCCACCGGGTTGACTGTCCATTGGATGACGGTCTAGGGGAGATGGCTAAACCCTGATTCCAAACCTCCAACGACTGGCGTATGAAGCTCACTGGAGCTCACCGGCAGACGTATGGACAAAGGGCTTGTTGGATGTCCTGGATGTCTGGCCCCATTCAAAAAGGCGTATGAACCGAACTCCGGTCACCGGCTGCCAATGGATAGTGGACTCCTTACTCCACTCCTACTGCCTTGTAGGTCACACTTGGCTGTGTAAAGGCTAGAGCTGCACTCTCAAACAAAAGGCCGAGCGATGCTGGGGACATTACTCGTACCAAATTCCCATGAAACTTCATGAACTCTCTTACAAATTGCCGCGCCTGGGCAGCGATGATTCGAGACGTTCATGAAGCCGGCTCATCCTCCCGTAGGAGATAGCCGAAGTAAAGTAAAGTAAGTAAGTAATAGACTTACTATATATCTATCCACTTTGAGATATCATCAATAAACCGGAAGGGTGGAAGATAAAAACACGTTTTGTGTAGGTGTGGCTCACTGATTGGGAAGCCCACTCTTTGAACCTCCTAATGACTTCTAGAATAGAATCCGGCCCAGTTTACTTGGGACTAGGCAACTGAAGAGTTTCACACAATAAGTGCGATGAAATAGTTTCTCAGTCGAGTTTTTTTTTTCATCGTGAACACGGGTAAAAGTGGGTAAAAAAACATGAGTGGCATTCTGTTTAAAAATTAGGTGAAGTGCCAGGGGGGGGAGGGTATTTCTGGAAATGACATGAGAAAAAGTAGGCAATTTCTCCATTAAAAACGTGGAAAACATGGGTAAAAGTGGGTAGGTATCTCTTGTTTTGAAAAAAAATGCGGAAAGAGGAAAAAAGTGGGGCCCACGCGTCTCAATCCATCAAAACTGCCCATTTTTTCACCTTACCCATATACACATCCTCCAAATGGGTTGGGTACATAGAAAATCTATCCCGCATAACTGTGAGTATCACGCATACAACAGCAGCTTAAAGTGTGAGCATAAAATGACGCTGAACAAAATATCATTATCTACTATTACTGCTTTCGCTCGGTGCTGAAGGTCAAATGACTGACTGGAAAGGATAAACGTTAAAGAACCCACCAAACGAATCGAGAACCTATTGCCCAATAAGTAACACAAAAGGAAGTGAAGATGCATTGGCCAAACATTGAGGAGACCTTCAAGTTATGTATGACACGTCAACCATGCCCTCAAGTGGAACCTAAATGGGAAGTGACAGGATGTATATTGCACATCCGAGGATGATATGGAGAGGTCATATGAAGAGAGGGAATGAAAGCTTGTAGTCAGTCATGAAGCCAGTTGGAAGTGATGACAGAAAACCAAGTGTGATGAAGATGTTCTCTGTTTCACTCACAACGCATAGAATGAACAATAATAATAATGATAACTATTTAATTAATTCCACCAAAACAACAAGTAACTTACAATCAATTCTTTTAAACCATCAACATTCTGATTCACTTGTTCAATAGACGGTGCTCGTCGTATCGCATTCACTCCTGGTTCATCACCCATAAATTGAACCAGCAGATAATGAAATGGATCAGCGAATGTGCTGAGGCTACCACCACCACCACCACTATTGTTGCTATTGACAATTTCATAATCCTTTCCCATAAGAACAGGTTTTATTTCAGCAGGCTTTGTAGGTGTATTTCGATTCAGCAGAGCATTTCTAGTCGATTCTGATGGTAGCCAAGCATCTCGTTGCCGCAGACGATTTAAACTAGCCGTGTCTTGTTTAACTTCTGGTTGAATATTTTTCAATGAAACGGACTTCTCAGTTGATTCTGACTGAATTATAGAAGAAAAAATGGAGGAGAGGGGGAGCAGACAGATGACAATAAAGAAGGGACATGATTAATTAATTATTTCTTCATTCGTCTACATACAATCACGAGTACAACAAATGCTAATAAAATACCTGTCGAACAAGAGATGACCAGGTGAACAGATGTACTTGAATACAATTGGCTAGTCTCAATCACGACTAAATATACCTGATTTCTACTATCACTAATCACTACTGTTTTTTTTTAATTCTTTTACGTTCCCAGTGGAACATAGGGGGCTTAAGCTAGAGGCTTGAAGTTTCTGTAGCAGTGATGATTATTTTTACAAGATGGGGTTGATAGCCTCATGTTCAACCTTGCCTCTTTACCAGTATTATTACTGGCTTAGCGAGGTAAAGGAGTGCGTCCGGTGGCCGGGGATCGAATCACAGACCACATGTATGGTTGGTGAGCATTGTGCCGGTGTGCCACCGACGCACACTAATCACTACTACTGTCTGGCTATTTTATGCATGTTTAACATAGCCATCGTCTTCCTCGACAACGGGAAATGTTGACCGCTGACATAGGATGGAAAAGAGTTGGCTAGTGATGGTCAAACCAAAGCACAGCTACATCAGTCAATCAAATCTACGACAGTTAGCTTAAGCCAGCCATGTAGGGAAGTGTAAACTGCCTGACTGGCTGGTTGCGGTCCTCAGGATGACAGTAAGAACCAATGACAGCTAAAGAAAACTGTTGATATGTCTCAAAATCGTTCTCGACGATGATGACGCAGATACATTCACTCTTTGTCATTTGTCATATCCAGTAAAATCCAGTTGTTTTTCCATATTACTATTCTTCCCCCTCACTCACACTTCTGTTTGTCATCTCTCTTATGATGAATCTATATTTACTCTCTTCACTTGCTTTGTGTGGTGAATGGAGATTGGCAAGTGTAACTGCTTCACATCTGTGCAAAGTTGTGTTGAAATCAGTCAGTCAGCACTACTGATATAAGAATAAAACTTGTGCACTGTGTTAGAGTATAATTCCATTATGGGTAAAATTTATTTTGATAAAGTCTCACAGAGTGTTATACAGTAATATTTACTGATGACCACGTCTCGAGCACAATTTATTGCCACTCATAATCATATCACTACTCACACAACTTTCTAACTTCGTTTATATAATTCCATTATTTTCCATCTCTTGATTTGATTGGTAGTAGTATTTTCCATATTTCCGGTAAGAGTGATGAGTCATTGCATCCTATTGCATGTGTTTCGGTGTAGACTCGATGAACAAAGATTCAGTAATTAACCTCTCTCTCCACCTACCTATGTTACTTTTTAGAATTATGACCCTGTCGTACCATATTGTGTGGTTGTGTGTTAATGCACCCAGTGCAATAGCTAAGCTTTTTTCTAAATTACTTATCTTCTCGGGGTCAACCGTTCTTACCTTAGCTAAATTCTAATGTTCCGACGATCTAACTAATCTCAACCTACTAGTTTGACCTATGTAGTTGACCTAACTCACAGTCATTGCAGGGTATTCTGTAAATTATATTATTTTGTTTAATTGGGTCAACTGGGTCTTTCAACCTACACAGCTTCTCCCTGATTGAGTTTGTATGTTTAAATGCCACTCTAATTCCTGCTCAATTAAGAATCCTACGTAGAGAGGGTCTCAGATGTCCCCTCCTTATATGGCATAATAGTAGATGCCTTATATTCTCTTTTATTTATGTTATCATTACTAGTTTCACAATTATTTTTATTTTGCTTTTGGTCTTTACTGATCTTCTTAATGAATTTTAAGGATAGTTATTTGATATCAACGCTTCTTCTATGTGTTTTATTTCATCATTTAGGTCTTTTCTTGTGGCACTTAGTAATACTGCTCGGTTTGTTAGACACTTAACTAAGCCTGCCTTAACAGCATTACTCTCTGCCTTAACACATAGACCAAAGTTCTGTTCCTCATAACAATCACTCGTAAACAAGACAGAATGAGGTTCACTTATATATGAGGCTTTCTTTCTTACAAAGTTGTAAATTTATCTTACCTACACCAACAACTACAGCCGGTTAGTTAAACTACTCAACACACAAAAAAAGGGGCGGGGGTAAGTAGGAAGTCAGTCATTTGTTATTTATGTTTAGCGAATTCTCACCACTAATAATCACTCAGGATCTGGACTTCGCCGATGATATATGTCCGATTTCTCACAAACTGGAAGATATGCAATTGAAAAGCAACAAGTTGGCAGAAGAAGCATCAAAGGTAGGACTTCAGATGAACATAGAGAAAACAGAAGTGATGAAGATTCCTGGCCAACACCAACAGCAACAACAACAATCAGCATAAATACGAGGAACCTGAAAGAAACAACCTTGTTTACCTATCTGGAAGCATCGTTTCAACTACACGCGGAACTGACGAGGATATCAAAGCGAGAATCCGAAAAGCAAGACAAGCTTTCATTATTCACATCAAGTCTGTGTGGAGGTCAACAGCACTCTGCATCAAAAATAAGATCCGATTTTCAACTCCAATGTGAAGTCAGTGCTACTACACGGATCAGAGATTTGGCGCGTCATAAAGAGCATCTCAAACAAACTACAGACCTTCATTAACAGCTGCCTTTGCTCAATACTACTCAAAATCGGATGGCTGGCCAGAAAAGATCAGCAACAGGAAGGGATCTCTAGCAATGAGCGAACCAACCCAACAGGAACCGATTGTGCAACAAATAGGCAGGAAGGAATGGAGGTGCATTGGATTAGCCATACTCTGAGGAAACAAACCATCAAGCGACATTACTAGACAAGCCATTGCTCGAATGGAACCCGAAAGGGAAGCGACGAGTTAGTTGTCAGTGCAAGGGTGACTTGGAGGAGGTCGTGTGAAGAGGAGATGAAAACATGTGGGCAGACTTAGAGCCAGGTGAAAACTCTAGCAGAGAACCGAACGCAATGGAGACGGGAGGCTGAAGCCCTCTCTAGGAATTAAGGGATATAATAATAATAATAATAACCACTCACCTCTTTTATCAATCCATCAGTAGTGTTTGATTCGCACACAGACTCAAATGGATCTTCATCAGCTGTAATTTCTTTTGTAAAATAACTACTTAGAATGCTAGTAGTACCAGGAACTTGAGAATCTACACACACACGCACACACAAAATGGGAGTAATGCATTAGAAAAAACAAAACTAAGACGGGGCATACTTTTATGAACCTCTTCTTCTCCTTTTTTAACTTGTACAGCCGTATTTCTTGGATTAACATCACCTGATTTATTAGTGTTTCCTACAACTTCCCCATAGCTTAAATCTTTTTCCATTTTTGTTCTCACTAAAAATACAACAAAAAAACGAAGACAAAAAACTGAAGTGATCAATGTAACTTTGAACTTTACAAAAAATGTAGCACGACCTCACACCTTCGTGAGAGTGAATTTAGCTGCCTGTGATTCTTCAGAGGATCAATAGTTTTCATTTAGTGAAGGCTGGCTAAATAAAGAGTCTTATAAGTATTTTCAACAGTGTGCTTGCGAGGATTTTATTTCTTTCAGGTTTGACCACAGATTAATATCACAGTTAGAGAACGGTTGAAAGAACCACCACTGGAGTACAGGACAGCTATTTCATCGGAATTTAATTTGTGGATGGTGACTAGCAGTGGAATGCAGGGTGCGCATTTCGTCCTATTTGGGACTCGTCATCTGGATGTGCCTGCATTTCCCAGTGAGTCATGATGTTCCCATTGAGACTCGAATTATGCGCACTGGGTTCAAGCCTCGGTGGGAACATTATCACTCACTGAGAAATGCAGGCACATCCGGCCGACAAGTCCCAAATGGGACGAAATGCGGATCCTGCATTCCATTGCTAGTCACCATCCACAAATTAAATTCTAATTAAATGCCCAGACATCGTCGAAGCATCTGCACAAGAAGCGGACATGTTAGCCTGAGACCGACCACTTCGGTCCAATCAATCGACGGGAAAATCTATAAAGAAAATTCAATTAAGCTATTTCATCAGCCTAGTTTGGACTCATCGCCGACGGTACGTACCCATCCCACTGCCAGGGTTTGAACCCAGGATCTTCCGGTTACAAGGCAAGCTAGCACGTATACCATTCCATACACTGGTACTCGACTCATTGACCAATCCATGAATTCAAAATTCTAACAAATTGTAATTTTAGCGTGATCACTAGCAATTAAGTATAGTTAAAAGCAAAAGTGAGGATGGTTGAAGTTCACTAGCCGAATACTTCTGGACTAATTTACATCAAATATACCTTATGGTAGTGTGCTCTATCGCTGATTTTGTTTTCTGGTTTCTTCAGTGCTTCTAAAGAAAACAGAAAACAAATCAGTGATTGTACTTTACTTAATAGAAATAGGACAAAGGATTGATTTTCAGAGGGCCAATGTTATACAGACATGTTTTGGTGCTTTCGTCCATCACGTGTCTAACGCCCTTAAACATGAGTTTCCCAGAGACCTACGCCTTAGTGCCAGCTACATAATACTAATTTTATCAATGAACCTCAAATGTCATCGTTTTATACAAAGTATAAATCATAATCCTCCACCTACTCATATTCCCCAAAGCGTGAACTTCAATCCCACTTCAGGTTTCACAACACTAGGCTTGACAACTTCCTCTGACAACTTTGAAGGCAGACAACTGTTTTGACTGTTTCTAGATCACCATAATTAACTACGCGAACTCACAAATACCCCTCTCCCTTATATTTGTCGTCTGTTAATGATGTCACTAGCATCTCTAAGTGATTCTCATTGTCAATTAGAAAGTCCAGTGTGTAGTCATTGTTGGCTGAAGGGTTTGTCTGCCAGCGAGATTTACTGTTACCACTCACAGTGAATAAGACTTTCGTCATCATATCTTGAAAGTAATGCTTACTTTAAGTACTTACCGACCAGTTTCTTGACAAGACTCAGTAATTCCTTGATGCCTTTCATTTCAAGTAAAAGGTCGCTTTAAACCTTATTGAAGTCATTGGATTTCCTTAATGCACCATGTATCCCCATTAAAAGCCTCACCGATATATGAATTTGTGACTTAAGTGAGTCTTCAAGCAACCTTTCACTTGAAATGAAAGGTATTCGTACCAATCACTTATATCTAAGCGCGTTGCGTAAGACTGTTATTGTTCACTTAATAGCATTCGTATGCAACTCGCCAGTTTGTTTGAATGTTAAACAAATTACAGGTCACAATAGAAGAACAGGTTGTGGTAAACATTGTCACCAGTAGTCACGTGGGCTGTGGGATGACGTTTTCTGATGGGAAGGATGCACAGAGAAGTGATAGCACATTCGGTAGTAAGATGCAAGTAAGTCGCAATCGTGGCTGATCTTGCCTTGCGAAATTGCCACTTGATGTAATAAAGTCATTCCCTCTGGAGCCTATGTACCTGATGTACCTATGAGTTGTTAGGGAATTGGTGTCCCTTTGGCAGATATCCCAGCTCGTCGAGAAAAAGACTGGGTAGAAGAATGCACACATATATGAATGACGGCCTAGAACTAACAAGGGACAAGATTATGTCTGATTTTCAGAGGAATCGTCAGTTGTTAGCTGAGGTTAGTCAATGGAAGGAAGCGGAATGTTCCTGTAATGTCTGGGTTCCATCACACTCACAAAAAATCTACCGTTGCCTATGAACTTAAATTTTAAGAGACTATCCCTGGCAGTTTACTTATTATTGAGATCCAAATACTGCCGTTAATGTGTGGATGCCGCTTGAACGGATATAAGTGATTTCTTGCTGGAATATGAGGATTGTTTCGAAAGCCAAGATATTGTTTATAATGTGTATTCTTCGAAACAATAGCTGATGACGTCAAGCAGCAAAGGCCCATGGGAGGATTTAGTACATTTTCATTTAAATCCTACATGCATGAGAATAGGGAATCTGTTCACTATGAGTACGCTGCGGCCAGGTAGGCAGTTCAGCGTTATGTTGAGCAAGCGTGCCACTTGAGAAGTAGGGGTGTGAAATATGTGCTTAAGCAAGTTGAAACTAAAACCGTCGAGTTTACCGAAGGAAAGATGACGTATCTATATACAATACTTGCGTATTATTCACCGGATAATGTCATCTTGGCTGTAGGTAGACAGGATGTCAATATAGAAATGGAAAATGAAGGAAGGATTCGTGTTTGATCATCCTGTGGTTGTAATGACGATTTCATGTCACTAGTCAGTCACAAAACCATCTGGATATCCTATTGGGATTTCAGTTCCAATATGTAATTACGAAGTAGTCATCCCCGTGCTTCATCCTTTAGTATAAAGATACCGTAGACTAGCTTACCCGTTTGCTGATGATATTGCATGGACGTTCGAATCGTCTTTTCTTCCCAACGTCTACGTATTTTCAGATCTGCATTTCTCCTTCTACTTAATCAATGCTGTTGGTCTTACTGGAGTTCATTTGATAGTTTGTTCAGAATTTTTGAAGTCTAGGTTTACGTATGCTACTAATTTTGGAAAACAGACCTCTTACATATGAAGTGAACATCACCGTATTTGGAATAAGACAACAGCGCGATGACAATCCCAAGCACTAAGATTATGTGCAGTGGGCTATGTACATAACAGCACTACACACCCTTAACCTGACCCCAACACAAGAATACCAAGGCAAAAGTGAAGAACAGACACCAAAGTCAAATGACCGAGAATATACCAACCGTATTCTTCTAGGTGAAAAGTAGCATTTATTTACAAAAAAGTGTATTTCTAAGGCATATGTGTACTAAATTATGCAATGTATATATATATATATATATAAATTATCCCACTAAAATAGCCGTAATCTAACTCGAACCTACACTAATTAGATCTCCCTTATTAGATTTACTCGACCGTGACCGGTCCCCATAATAAACTGTTACCTAAACTTTCCCCTAGTTAGCCTACAGCTTACCAGATATCCCGTATAATGTCCTAACATTTCATTAGGCTTATTTTATTCGTCATTATGCGGCTACTTGCCTGGTTTCACTAATTTCGGCCTTAAGTTTAGGTTTGCTGCATTTTTATAGGGATGCACAATTTAGTAACTTTGTAAGAAATGCGAAGAAAAAACAAAAAACGTCACATACCATTAACTGTACGTTTCAACCTTGAAAGGTCATACGTTTGAATTTCCAGCTATTCAATTATTCAATATACAATATCCTGATTACGAGCTAGTATAAACCAGTGGTTTCTTTGAGCTCGCTTCTTGATTGTAAGGTAGAGGTTCCAGATCTTCGGTGAACTTCTGCGTAGTAAGTCCCGCCACTCGACTGCTTTAGCTCTGGTAGACTCCAAGAGGAGTGGTGGGGGATTGGTCAAGATGTGGTTTGTAGTATGCGGTATGTTGGGGCTGTGTTGCTGCCGTGAATGGAGTTTGACCTAAATCCCGTTGGTCATTCGGTGTAGTCATAAAAGCGGAACAGTAATAATAATAGGTTGTAGTGTAGATAATATAGGTTGAGAGAAGTGAAATAATAAAGGTGACCTAAGGAAAAGATAGAGTAGTCAGAGAAGGCAAAACAGGTCGTGGGGATTTAGTTTGTATGCTTATCCATTGACAGTGTGGTTTTAAGTTATATGAGGATAAGCCATTGATACACAAACCTTGCATTTCTTCATGATTGTCCAGCTTCCGCTTAAAAATCTCCACAGATGGCGCTGTAGTCACGCCCGCCGATAAAGCGTTCCAAAGACGGCAAACTCGAAGCAAAAGAAGTTTGAACGCACTCGAGTCTTTGGTCTCTGGTGTGCTATCCTTAGCGGGTTACCTTGTGGAATCCTATGATCACTTAATGGCAGGATGCTTTTATTTGGGTGGGTCTGGTCATTTAAGATCTTGTAGACGGTGATGAGGTCTCCCTGTGACTACGGTAACTAAGCGTGAAAAGACTTAATTTCTTCAGCCTTTCCTCGTATGATTTGTTGCGGATGCCGATCACCCTTTTTGTCGCTCGTCTCTGGACACCTTCTAGAATGTTGGTATCCCTTTTGGGTAGCGGAGGAGCAATAATATTATGCACCTCAAGGTGTGGCCTCACACATGTCTTATATAACCTTAAGAACAGTTCGGGAGTAAGAGCTCCCAGCTGCCTTTGCATAAAGTGTAAAGTTGCGTAGGGTTTGGCGACGTCCTTCGTGTAATTTACACTGGTGTCTAGCTTTTCTGATAGAATAAGACCTAGATCGCCCTCTGATGGAACACAACTCAAGTTCTTGCCACCAAGGGTGTAATTTACACTCTGTGACCTGTCGGAGTGAAGTTGCACTACTTTGCGCTTCTTTAGGTTGAAAGGTATTCCGTCAGCCAGAGCCCAGTCTCCCAGAGTTCGCAGGTCAACCTGCAATCTGTCTGAGTCTTCCGATGAGTTTATTGCTCTCCAAATCTTTACGTCGTCAGCGTAAAGAAGCGCAGAGCAGTTTAGTAGGGAGGGCAGGTCGTTGATAAAAATCAAAAACGTCAACGACCCTAAGATAGAACTCTGAGGAACCCCTGATGCCGAGATGTGCCAGGATGATCAGATGCGGTTGACTTTGGTGCGGAATTCTCTCTCGCTTAAGTAATCCTTCAGTCATGCGAGAAGTGCTCCAGAAACATCAGCCTTGCTTATTTTTTGAAGGAGCAGATCATGGTGAACTTTGTCGGATGCTTTCGCAAAGCCGAGAAAGATCACATGGACTGGTACTTTTTCGTCCCAGGATAGTGTCCAATCGTTCCAAGCTAGTAGAAGATTCGTCACGCAGGATCTTCCCCTCCTGAAACTGTGCTGTACTTCATGAAGTAGGTTAGTCCCATCGAAGTATTTTCTCATGTGGTCGTCAATGAGACTTTCCAATATCTTCGATATCACTGGAAGCAGAGCAACTGGTCTGTAACTGGCCGCATTCTTCCGGTCACCACCCTTGAAGATAGGGGATAAGATTGCTCGTTTCCATTCACATGGGAGTTTCCCTACATCAAAGGAGTGTTGAAACAGGTCACTTTCTGAACACTGCTTCAGGACGATGGTCTGATGTCACGACGACCTGAAGACAGGTTTTGAACTGTTGCGCTACAGGTGTTCAGTTTCTGCGTGAATCATTTTTCCCTAATATTTTGGAAATTAGCCGCTTTCCTCACATTATCCAGTTATCCATAGTCAACAAGGATTGTATTGTATCAACTGGAACAACATATAGCATTCACTCGTGAAATCTACATCAAGAATCTTCGGATACTCTATCTAACCACGTGGAACTCAAAACTTCATCCACAGCAAACTCTGTAAAGGAAAGTCTGACTTTTTATTTTTGCAATATACATCTGTTTATCGTTGTTGTTTTGACACTTCGATAATACAGCTATCTCATTTTTATATCCTCAAGACTTTCTTTCCGGAAATTGTGAAGTTTCTTATTTCTGTAATGGTTAAGTCTATCAAACGTGTAAGTAAGACTGAGATCTAATACTAGTCATCCATCTGAAGGCCCCAGCTCCGTTGACGATTCTACACTTTTTACACCAGCCACACCCAGATTTATGGTATCTGATATCATGGAGGAATTGACAGAGAATGCGGCTTGTAGCGAAAATGATCTACTGACACTTCAGAAGTCAATAGCAGAACTACAGAGCAAGTTTGACAGCATTATGCCTCTCACGCAACTGTGTGACCCCACACAAAACATCTGCCTTGAATCACTAATCAAATCCGAACGCATAATTGACTATTTGGCTGAAGAAGCTGTTAAGAGGATTATGTCTTCACATAACGTCTTGGCCTATAACATTCCAGACAGAGAGCCGATTGCCAAACTTAAGAATTCGTGTCTAAAGGCTTGTAATATGTCGTCGACAGAATGTCAGGTTTTGCGTCTTCGTAAGAAATCTGCAAACCACCCGTGTCCTGTGCTTTTCAAGTTTAGGTCTACTGAAGAAGCCAGGAATTTTCTGAAATCGGGTAAGACAATAAGCTCTTCAACACCATACACTAACATTAGGGTTGCACCTGATTTAACACCATGCCAAAGGCGATGCCGTTCAGGAACAGTGAACCCTGATAACTCTAATAGGATACATGTAGATGATGTTCCGTGCGTTATTCCGTCTATTGAAATATCTGATCACGGCATGCAACAGACATTTTCGCAGGCACTGGCTAATGTTAGCCAAGCATTATACAACGATATTGATGCTGACACTGAAATGGTGGACATAGATGAGTCAACGGGAAATAATGTTGAAATACATCGTTTTCACACTGACGCAAAAGTCAAGACACCGAAACCATCAAAACCCATCCCACTGGTGTTCCAACCATCGCCTTATAAGTCAGTTACTCCTCAGTCTGACAATCCACACCCTGTGAAGCGCCAGTCGAATGTAGCTACCCAAGTTGGCAAGTTTTCTAGGCGTTCTGATAAACGTCCCATTTCCATTAGGAAAACTAGAGCTCATGAGGTGTCCAAGCCACAAAAACCCTGCATAGCATGTGCTGGCTGCCCTGTTAGCCATCATCAGCCAGCTGATCATAAGATAAGGGAAAAAGAAGTAAATAAATTAAACACTAGACCCGGAGCAAGAAAGCCCTTTGGTATGACAGAGACGAAAGCACCTCTAGGCCTTCTTTCTAAGAGAAAGTCAAATATGGTAGACGAAGCTCCTAGGGGTAGGCCTAATTGGTGTCAGGTGGAAAGCCAAATTTATCCAATCCTTAATTCTAGACAAACAGCACAGCATGGTAGTAGGCATTTTTCTGCGCATCTACTATGTAAACCCCTTGTAAACCAGCCCACTTCCAATATCCAATATCGTTTTTACGAGCTAGTATAAACCAATTTGATTTCTTTGTGCTCGCTTCTTGATTGTGAGGTATAGGTTCTTGATCTTCGGTAAACTTCTGCGTAGCTTGTCCCGCCACTCGACTGTCGTAGCTTTGGTTGACTCCAAAGGGAGTAGTGCTGGGATTAATTATATGTGGTTTGTAGTATGAGGTATGTTAAGACTGTTACTACTGTGATTGGAGTTGATCCTTTCGCCAGTTAGTCCTTCGGTATTGTCGACAAGAGAAAAGAGATAGTAATAATAATAATAATAATAGATATAATTAGTGAAGCTATTCAGACTAAGAGACAGAAACGAAAATAGGAAACGTAACAACAGTCAGCTCATTAAGTTTGAAGAATAATATATATATCGGTAATAGTAATAATAATAATAATAGTAATTATAATATTAATAAGTTGTCAGGAGAGTAAGACGGGAGAGAATGTAAAGAAGTAAAATGACGAGTTTAATTATCTACCCTGATTGGTAAATGCGATTTTAAGGAGATAGGCCATTTGGATGCAGTCCTTGTATCGCTGCATGGTTGTCCAGCCTTCGCTTAAAGGCGTCCAAAGACGGTGCCATAGCTACATCTGCCGGTAAGGAATTCCAGGGACGACAAACCCGCAGTGAAAAGAAGTGGGAGCGCACCCGGGTCCTTGCCCTCTGGTGAGCTATCCTTCTGGGATTTCCACGTGGAAGCCTATACCTACTCAATGGCAGAACACCTTTGTTTGGGTGATTCTGGTCATTTGTTATTTTGTAGGCAGTAATCAAATCCCCCCTAAGCCGACGGTAACTAAGTGTGAACAGGCCTAATTTCTTCAGCCTTTCATCATATGGTTTGTTTCGGAGACCAACCACTCCTTTTGTTGCCCGTCGTTGGACTCTTTCCAAGAGGTTGGCATCTCTTCTCAGCATTGGGGGTGCAATAATATTATGCACCTCAAGGTGTGGCCTGACGTATGTTTTGTACAACATTAGAAAGAGCTCAGGAGTGAGTGCACCTAACTGTCTATGCGTAAAGTGTATGACCGCATATGCCCTCGCTACATCCCCTGTGTAATTTACGCTTGTGTCCATTTTTTCCGTTAGAACTAGACCTAAGTCGCGTTCCGACGTTGTGCAGGACAAGCTTTCATTGCACAGGGTGTAACTTGCATTCTGCAGTCTACAGGTGCGCAACTTCACTACTTTGCACTTTTTCAAGTTGAAAGTCATGCCACTGGCCACCGCCCAGTCTTCCAGAAGGTTTAGGTCTTCCTGTAGCCTATCTGAGTCCTCCGGACACTTTATCGCCCTCCATATTTTTACGTCGTCAGCGTACAGGAGAGTCGGGCAGCTCAGACGGCGTGGTAGATCATTGATGAAAATCAAAAACATCAGTGGTCCTAGGATAGAACCCTGCGACACTCCTGATGACGATCTGTGCCAAGATGATCGGACTCGGTTAACCTTAGTGCAAAATTGCCTGTCGGCTAGGTAGTCCTTCAACCATGACAGAAGTGGCTCACCTATGCCTGCCTGGCTTATTTTA